TCAAGCCGGGAGGAGGAGGTTGGGGTGAGCCGAGACCGCCCCATTGCCCCCCAGCCGGGGTAACGAGGGCGAAACCCCCTCTAAAAAAAAAAAAAAAAAAAGAAATATTGTCCTGATACTCAATAGGGATTCTGAAAGGTGAAGGAGTGGGAGGGGAGTGGAGAATGAGGAATTCTTAATGGGTACAATGTACATTATTCTGGGGATGGATACCCTGAAAGCCCTGATTTCACCACTACACAATCTATGCATATCAGTAAATCTTAACTTTTTGCGGGGTATGGACCCATCTGAGAATCTGACCTTGTCCACAGAATAATGCACATGCATATATGATGTTGCATGTTATTTCAGGGAGCTTGAAAAGTTACTCTTCCTCCCAAGCCCATACACTGAATCACAAGTTAAGATATCCAGTTTTACAAGGTTGCAAAGAAAAAAAAATGAGCCAAGAATAATAATATTGTCCCTCCTCAAACCCCCAAACATTAAAGCAGACCTACAAAGAGCAACATGAGGCATTCTCAATTCCAAGGGTCTAGAGTAATGATTTTCTTCATCTTTAACATTTGTCAAGAATGACCTGAGTCATCATTTAAAAAATATTTGTAAATATTAATAAACTCCTTGGTAATACTTCATGTAGATTATGCTAGTAACATAAGTTTAACAACCAAACTGCAATAAACACGTTGTTTTATTTTATAATTAGAATGAATAATATTTAACATTTAATATATTCAGCTTGATCTCAATCATGTAAATATAATGCAGAGAAAAAAAGACGGCAAGTGAGTAAGCCAAAACTCTACTGACACCTCTGAGACCTGGGGCTGTGATGTTTACCATTCTTTCTGCTTTTCTGTACTTTCCAAGTAGACAAAAGTAAGTATCTACATATACATAGGAGTCTGGAATAGGAATAAAATCCCAGAGTAGCTGGCCACATCTCCAGGTTTTAACCCTGGTTTGGCTACTGTAGAACTGTGACTACAGGCAAGTCACTTGAGCACTATGAATCAGCTATTAGTACTTGACAGTAACCACACTATGTTTCTTCTGTCCCCTTTGTCATTATGCGGAAGGTATCTAGGCCCATATTTCCCCAGTTATAATTTCCCTAGATATTTACAAGCTCCGTCTTTCGGACTATTGCAAAAGTATCCAGAGACTTAGGGAGAAACTTTACTTGTTTTGCTTCCTTGGCCAGTGTATTTACAAATAATGAAAGGTCTATGTTTTTGTTAAGAACCTCAGCACAATGTACTAGTCCAGCATTTCCCAACCAATGCAATAATACCATCCTTATGTCAGGGAGTGACAAGTGATTAAAAGGTGATTACAGTATGTGAAATGCTACATTTCAGAAGCTGCGTCGATAACCGAGAGTGTAGCGCAGATCCCCTGATGTGAAACCTAGTTCCATCCCTGCCAGTTCAGAAGCCAGGAGGGACATGCTTCTGCCAACCTCGCCTTCTTTTCCTGACTGTTCTCCTCTACCCACTCCGAGGATCCCCTCCACGGCCAGCAAGGCGCGGGGCTGGGAAGACAGGAAAAGTCAGGTAAGGGGCCCGCCCGCCCTACTCGAATCCCAGCTCACATCCCGCGCCTGGCTCTCTTTAACCCCAGGGCCTACAGGTCCGCCAGGAAGGAGGTTCCCGGGTTCGGACCCGGGCTAGGAGGCCGCAGAGGGCACTGGGCCCGAACTATGAGGGAGACCGGCTGGAGATGGAGCCCACACTCGGGAAGGAGGCCCAGCCCCAATCACCTCTCAGAGGTGGGCGGGTCCGCTCAGGGACGGGGCTCTCGAGGGAACGGCCACGCCCCGGACGCCGTCGAGAGCCAAGCGCCAAGGGAGGGGCGGCGGGCTATCGAGGCCAGGCGCCTGGGACATCGAGTACCTGGCGGCCGAACTGAGGACAACTGAGGGCACTCGCAGAGCAGGGCGGGAACGCTTCCAGCAATGGCGGCGGCTCAGCGGGGCTGGCCTCCAGGCAGGGCATTGCGCCTGCGCAGCCGGAGCGTTGGAACTACAATGCCCAGAATCCTCAACGCCTGAGCCCCCGCCCCTTTTGTCTGTTAGTGAAGGAATTTGCTCTTTGGGGGTGCGAAGAAATTCAAATTGGACACACGGATGGGTGAGGTGGCTCACTTCTGTAATCCCAGCACTTTGGGAGGCCGAGGCGGGCGGATTACGAGGTCAGAAGATCGAGACCATCCTGGCCAACATGATGAAACCCCGTCTCTACTAAAAATACAAAAACTACCTGGGCGTGGTGGCGAGTGCCTGTAATCCCAGCTACTCGCAAGGCTGAGGCTAGATAATCGCTTGAACCAGGGAGTTGGAGGTTGCAGTGAGCTGAGATTGCGCCACTGCACTCTAGCCTGGCGACAGAGCTAGACTCCGTCTCAAAATAATAATAATAATAATTGGTACACTTCTATTGAGAAGCCTTGGCTATGTGTCAAAAGCAATAGCACTAGAGATACAAGTAATGACACACCCCTGCCTTGGAACATTAGGTGCGACTAAAGAAAGCCCTTGAGAGAACAGATAGATGTGATCCAGACAAGTGTGTGAAAAAGTGCTTGGAAACACTTTTTTCTGAGCAATTCACTTTATGACAATTCCCTCAGAGTTGGAAGAGACAACAATTGAGGACCATAACGCCAATCAAGTAGAATGGATATGAATGCCTGAAAATAAACTGGAAATTTTAAGGCCAAAATTCTTCAAAATACAAGAAACAAACTTTTTTGAAGACAAATAGCTGTGGAAGTTATCTTCAATGCATACAAATGATAATTCTTGAAACATAGTGACTGAAAGTATTTATTTGCAACAAATTTATTTGACCACTTACTCAAGGACTGCTCCTCCAAGAGCTATATTAAGGTTTATTTACTTTCTTCCCTACCAAAGACAATATTTTTTGAGGATGGAAACTAGGTCTCGTGGAGTTTTTTACTCACAGTGCCTACTTAGAAGACTGCTTGCATAATGAATAAACAAAGGAAGAATGAAATAATTTAGGACCCTACCGTCCAACACACTTCCGCATATCGAAATGTGCACGGAATGAGGTACATCTTCCAAGGAGAGTGGCAATGAAGCATAATCAAAACAGGGTATTCTCAGGAGGACTGGAATGAAAAGAAATTTCCAGCAAAAAAGATTGCTCAAAATATTTATTCAATACACCCTGAAATTAGAAACTGAGCAAACGTCTTTTGGAGATCCCAGTTCCCTTACATTCCCTGAAGATGAAGATGAGCCAAACAGAAGTCCAAAACTTAAAAATCACAAAACAAATAATAAAATAAGCCACTGTTAATGCAAATCAGCACAAACAATAAACAGCAGAAATATATCCCCCAAAACTTCAGATGCAGAGCTCATTTGATTAACAATTTAAACCCTTACCTATATTTTAAATGTTTAAAGACATGTTAGATGGAACGAAAAACATCAAAAAACAACAGAATGTAAAATAAGCCACCGGGAAAGTTTCAAAAAAATAATGTGGCTCTTTTAGAAATAAAATAAGAGAGTAGATTAATATATCATAGATGAAACAAATGTTCAATTTTATTGAATACCACATGAGGAAATTGTGTATTAATTTTTTTTTTTTCCTTTTTGTGGAGAACGGGGTCTCGCTATATTGCCCAGGCAGGTCTCGAACTCCTGGGCTCAAGCTATTTTCCCGCCTCTGCCTCTCTAAGAGCTGGGATTACATTACTAAATTTTTTTTAAAAGATTTTCTGTCTTTTATATTTCTAAAGGAAATCACCTGATACCTTCTTTAAGAGCTAGGTTTTCTTTTGTTGTTGTTTTTTCATTAAAAAACAAACAAACAAACAAAATCCAGGTGGGTGGGGTGGCTCACGCTTCTAATCCCTGCATTTTGGGAGGCCGAGGTGGGTGAATCACCTAAGGTCAGGAGTTTGAGACTAGTCTGACCAACATGGAGAAACCCATCTCTACTAAAAATACAAAAATTAGTTTGGCGTGGTGGCCCATGCCTGCAATCCCAGCTACTCGGGAGGCGGAAGCAGCAGAATCGCGTGAACCTGGAAGGCAGAGCTTGCGGTGAGCTGAGATAGCGCCGTTACACTCCAGCCTGGGCAACAAGCACAAAACTCTGTCTCAAAAACAAACAAACAAAAAACCACCACCACAACGAAAAAACAAACCTAGAGTGCAAATATAGTGTTTCCCGTTATAAGGAACAGAGAGAATTCAAAACAAAAGATTTTTTAAAAAATGACTCTGCTAGGCCGGGCGTGGTGGCTCACACCTGTAATCCCAGTACTTTGGGAGGCCAAGGCGGACGGATCATGAGGTCAAGAGCTCGAGACCAGCCTGGCCAACACGGTGAAACCCCATCTCTATTAAAAATACAAAACTTAGCCCGACATGGTGGCGGGCGCCTGTAATCCCAGCCACTTGGGAGGCTGAGGCAGGAGAATCACTTCAAACCAGAAGGCAGAGGTTGCAGTGCGCCGAGATGGAGCCACTGCTCTCCAGCCTGGGCAAAAGAGCAAAACTCAGTTTCAAATAAATAAATAAATAAATGACTCTCCTAAAGAAGGAAAGGCATAGTTTAGAGACCTTAAAAATTCAGTTAGATGATGTCCTCCAGCAATGTTTGGAAATTCAAGACCAAATAAAATGTAAGGGAAAAATTATCATTCAGAATTTGTTACTGGAATAGAGAAATATTGGAAGAATAAAGAAGTGTATGGGACTGAAATTGTTTTGAATAAAAACCTAATCATGTATTATGGTACACAATGTAGGATGTGTTAGCAAGCACATGGAGACCAAGGAGGCTACAGGAGTCAAAGTGCCGGCAATTATGTGACAGCACAGAGTGGACTAACAAGCCATAACAGTGCAGTTAGAAGGTGGTAACAATTACAGGCATGAGCCACTGTGCCCAGCATAAGAATATATTTAATATAATTTACTTATATAATATCCAAATTGAGGCAAAACTAAGCAGTATATTGTTTAGAGATACATACACATTTGGTTAAACTATAAAAAAAAACACACAAAGAAACGTTTAACCCAACATTTAGGGTAGATTATTACTTCTACAGGGATAAAATCCAGGAAAGACAGACACACAGGTGACTTCAAAGGTATTGGGAATGTTTTCTTATTGGGAGGAGTACACTGTTGTTCAACTTGTAGTGATATTTATTATAGACATTTTTGTGTGCATTATATATTTAATAATTTTAAAACTGTTAAAGAACTATTCTGTGAAGGCAGAAACTAATGCTTTTTGGCTCCAAATAATAAACCAATGGTTAAAACTTACTTGAAAGTAGATTTTGATTTAGACTGTAAAACTTTATGCTAACAATGAACTTCTTTGGAAGATAGAGTAGGCTGCCTTGCGAAACAATGAATTTGAATTCTTGGAGAAGTGCAGGCAGACATTAGCTGACTCCTTGCTTAGAATTTTTAAATATTGTCTTGGGAATTTGACCTCATGACCTGCAAGCTCCCTTCCACATAACGATTTTGTGTTTACATGAATATTCCTTTCAATAATACATGTATTTTTCCTCCCATTGGGCAGGTAATAAATAGATTTGTATCATCACAATGTGTTGTGGAATACTTCGGAATCAGTGACATTCAAGAACGAGATGGTAGACTTTGTCTGGGAAGAGTGGAACTTAGTGGACTGACCCCTCAAGAAGGAATCTGCCCAAGGGTGTGATACTGGGAAACTACAGGAACCTGCTCTCTCTGGGTAAGAAGAGTTTTGTTGTGACTTGCTATCTTTCTGTTGGATCAAATGGATCTTAGGATTCAGGGATTTATGAATACCTTATTAACCCTTATGGAGTAGTTCTATCCCCATTTCCAAGTAAAAACTCTGCTCTTTGTAAAGGGAAAAATTTATATTTTCATTGGCTTATCTTCAAAACTCCACCTAAAGGACAATCCCCCAGACCTAGGACTGTCTCTCTTACAGTTTCTTTTCAGATACTTCAATTCCGCCTTTTTTTTTAATTAAAAAAAATATATTTTTTGCCAACTCATATTGGTTCTGTGATGCAGCATGTTTCGTTATTCTTGGGAGCACATCTTTGATCCCTCCCAACTACTTTTGTAATCATATGGAACTTCCTGTACTGATCATGCCTTCCAAAATATGGTGTCCACATAGAACTCTGGAATGGCTTTTTGTCACCAACATAGCGAAGTCCCATTTCCCTTTTCCTGAACAGGGCTTGCAGTTTCCAAACCAGACAAAATCTCCCAGCTGGAGAAAGAAAAAGGATCCTAGATGGTAGTGAGACAAATTTCAAGAAACTCCATCCAAATAAGTAAATGAGAATGAGGATAAGATTCATTATAAGTAACATCCTCAGTTGGTGTTCAAAAGTTATCTTTTGCCTGATTAAAGTGGGTCACACCTGTAACCCCACCTGAGACAGTCTTGGCAATCTAGTAAGACCCCCATCTCTAAAAAGAAAAGAAATTTAAAAATTTACCAGGTATGGTGGCATGTAACTGTATTCCCAGCTACTCAGGAGGCTGAGGTGGGATGATTGCTTGAAGCCAGGAGTTCAAGGCTGCAGTGGGTGAGGATTGCACCAATGCATTCCAGCCTGGTGACAGAACCAGACCCTGTCTCCCTAAAAAACAAGCAAACAAATAAACAAACCAAAACCCACAAACAAAACAAATCCCTTTTAGCAAAATACTTGCATGAGGTAATAAAAGGTATGTACCAAGTGCCTACAACATAATGTCATGATGAAATATTAAGTGCTTCTCATGAAATTAGGTTCAAGACAAGTTTCCATCCACCATCACACTTCTCTTCCACATTGCACAATGTAAAGGGGCCTGCCCAAAGTCATAACATTGCTCACTGGGTAAGTCAAGAGAACCCAGTACAGTGCTTTAGATCTTTCATTATAGTTTTGTACTAAAACTGCTCCTGTTATCCTTTGGACATGAGTCCCTTAAGTATTATCATTCAAATTCATGTACATTAGTCGATTTTCACCCTGCTATAAAGAATACCTGAGACTGGGTAATTTACAAACAAAAGAGGTTTAATTGGCTCACAGTTTTGCATGGGTGGGAAGGCCTCGGAAACTTACAATCATGACGGAAGGCAAAGGGGAGGCAGGCAATTTCTTCACAAGGCAGCAGGAGAGAGGGGAGAGCAAGCAGGAGAAATTGTCACCTAGAAAACCATCAGATTTCATGAAAACTCACTATCATGAGAATAGGATGGGAGAAACCACCCGCACAATTCAATCACCTCCTACCAGGTCCCTCTCTCAACACATAGGGATTACAATTCAAGTTGAGATTTGAGTAGAAACACAGAGCCAAACCATATTATTCTGCCCCTGACCCCTCCCAAATCTCATGCCCTTTTCACATTTCAAAATCAATTATGCCTTCCCAACAGTTGCCCAAAGTCTTAACTCATTCCAGCATTAACCCAAAAGTCCAAGTCCAAAGTCTCATCTGAGACAAAGCAAGTCTCTTCTGCCTATGAGGCTGTAAAATCAAAATCAAGTTAGTTACTTCCAAGATACAACGAGGGTACAGGCATTAGGTAAATGTTTCCATTCCAAATGGGAGAAATTGGCCAAAACAAAGCGGCCAGAGGCCCCGTGCAAGTCCAAAGTCTGGCAGGGGAGTCATTAAATCTTAAAGCTCCAAAATGATCTCCTTTGACCCTATATCTCACATCCAGGGCATTCTGATGCAAGAGGTGGGCTCCCAAGGCCTTGGGCAGCTCTGCCTCTGTGGCACTGCTGAGTACAGCCCCTGTGGCTGTTTTTACAGGCTGGCATTGAATGCCTGCATCTTTTCCATGCACATGGTGCAAGCTGTTGATGGATCTACCATTTGGGAGTCTGAAGAACTGTGGGCCTCTTCTCACAGCTCCACTAGGCAATGCCCCAATAGGATCCTATATGGGGGCTCCAATCCCACATTTCCCTTCCGTACTCCCCTAGCGGAGGTTCTCCATGAGGGCTCTGCTCATGCAGCAGACTTCTGACGGGACATCCAGGTGTTTTCATACATCCTCTGAAGTCTAGGCAGAGGCTCCCAAAGCTCAACTCTTGTCTTTTGTGCACCTGAAAGCCCAATACCACGTGGAAGCTGGCAAGGCTTGGGGGTTACACCTGCTGAAGCAATAGCCCAAGTTGTACCTTGGCCTCTTTAACCATGATTGGACCTGCAGCAGCTGGGAAGCAAATTACCATGTCCCAAGGCTGCACAGAGCAGCAGGGCCCTGGGCCTGGCCAGGAAAACCATTTTTCCCTCCTATGCCTCTGGGCCTGTGATGGCAGGGATTGCTATGAAGATCTCTGTCATGCCCTGGAGACATTTCCCCATTGTCTTGGCAATTAACATTTGACTCCTTGTTACTTATGCAAATTTCTGCAGCTGGCTTGAATTTCTCCCCAGAAAAGGGTTTTCCTTTTCTACCACATGGTCAGGCTGCAAATTTTCCAAACTTTTATGCTGTCACTTCTTGAATACTTTACTGCTTAGAAATTTATTCTGCCAAATACTCTAAGTCATCTCTCTCAAGTTCAAATTTTCACAGATCTCTAGGGCAGGGACAAAATGCCACTACTGTCTTTGCTAAAGCATAGCAAGAGTGACCTTTGCTCCAGTTCCCAATAAGTTCCTCATCTTCATCTGAGACCACCTCAGCCTGGACTTCATTGTCCACATCACTGTGAGCATTTTGGTCAAAACCATTCAAGTCTCTAGGAAGCTCCAAACGTTCCAACATCTTCCTGTCTGTTTCTGAGCCCTCCAAACTGTTCCAACCTCTGCCCATTACCCAGTTCCAAAGTTGCTTCCACATTTTCAAGTATCTTTACAGCAGTGCTCCGAACTCTTGGTACTAATTTCCTGTGTTAGTCCATTTTTGCACTCCTATATAGAATACCTGAGACTGGGTAATTTGTAAACAGAAGAGGTTTAATTGACTTACAGTTCTGCATGGCTGGGGAGGCCTCGGGAATCTTAGAATCATGTTGGAAGGCACATAGGAAGCAGTAACTTCTTCAAAGGGATCAGGAGAGAAGGGAGAGCAGGGGAAACTGCCACTTATAAAATCAACAGATCTTGTGAGAACTCACTATCACAAGAACAGCATGGGGAAACCACCCCCATGGTGCAGTCACCTCCCATCAGGTCCCTCCTTTGACACACAGGGATCACAATTCGAGATGAGATTTGGGTGGGAAGACAGAGCCAAACCAAATCATCGTGGTTGCTGGTGGATTAGTTGATATTGTGAGGTGGAGATACAATAAGCTATCAGTTTGATTAGGAGGTCTGGGTTTTGCTTTTTCTATGGTAATATAAAAGGTCAGGTATGTTACAAATTCACTGCAATTACAAATCAGTCTCTGTGCATATAAGACAGCACAAGCCGGGCGCGGTGGCTCAAGCCTGTAATCCCAGCACTTTGGGAGGCCGAGGCGGGTGGATCACCTGAGGTCAGGAGTTCTAGACCAGCCTGGCCAACACGGTGAAACCCCGTCTCTACTAAAAATACAAAAAATTAGCTGGGCATGGTGGCGTGTGCCTGTAATCCCAGCTACTCAGGAGGCTGAGGCAGGAGAATTGCCTGAACCCAGGAGGCGGAGGTTGCGGTGAGCCGAGATCGCGCCATTGCACTCCAGCCTGGGTAATAAGAGAGAAACTCCGTCCCCCCAAAAAAAAAGACAGCACAAAATCACAGACCTAGGGTCTTGCTAGATATAAAAGAAACCCTACGTGATATCATGCCCCCATCTTTACTTCAAACTCTCAACTAAAATTACTAGTGAGGACTTTTTTGTCCGGCTGTTAATATTTGATAATTCTATCTAGCATGCAATAAGATATGGAATATATGAATAATAACAACTTGATCTTCTAATATTATAACACTTAATTTTAAACCTTTATGTTGTGCCTGTATTCTACAGAAAATGAACACTTTCCTTTTTTCTCTAAATTTAGTTTAATTTATTTCAGAATTTCTAGATTTTATTGTCTCTATTTAGCTAAAGCTACAAGAAAGTTCAAATTCATATCTTTAAATGCTTTCATTATCAATCAAGAAAGAACAAAGTAAAATGAACAAAGAATTTTACTCAAGAAACTAGTGAGAAATCAAAGAAATGTGCAAAAAGTAGAATAAAAGAATTAATAAAAACAGATTAACAGTGGAATAAATAAACGAATCTGAAGCAATCCACTTTCTCAGCATGAGGAAGCCATTTCTCTCTCTCTTCTTTTTCTATTAAACTTTCTGCTTCTAAAACAAACAAATAAATAAATCCAACTGGAATGTGGACAGACATACTCTATTCTTCAGGATAGGAAGATGAAATATCATAATCATTTTTTTTATTTTAATTTTAATTTTTTTTAATTTTTTACTTTAGGTGCATACTACATCTGGCATTTCTCCCCATGTTATCCCTCCCCACCCTCCCCACCCCCTGCTGTCTCTCCCCTACCTCCAAACTGCCCCCAGTGTGTGATGCTTCTCTCCCTAAGTCCACGTGTTCTCATTGTTCAACACGCATATCGTAATCATTTCTATGCAAGTTTTATGCATGCTCAAATATGTATAAACTAAGAAAAAGTCTGAAAGGACATATAGCAAAGTGTTTGTGATTTTTTTCCTCCAAGTGATGAGATTAAAGGTAATACTTTTCTTTTTTACACTTTTCTGTATTTTCTAAATCTTCTGTAATGAACATATAATTTTATGATCAGGAAAAAATAAGACATTTTTAAGATGGCAGATTACTTCTCATTAATACATATAATACAAATGCCAATCAAAATACCAAAGAGACAGATGTGGGACTGGGGAAGAGCTTCAAAAAGGGCCACATGGGAGATTAAACATTATGCAAAAGAGTAATGAGCAGTCTTAAAACAACAACAACAAAAAAGAAAGAGTAATCTTATTCTATAAGACATTAAAAACTACCCTCTGGGCAGTCAGTGGTGGGGAGGGCCCTGGCCCCACCAGCCCTCCTACCTGACCTTCCTCCTGCACCTATTCTTCCTCCTCTACTCTAAGAAAGTCAAATGGGTCTGCTGGTCCTCAGGGCGGGGTACTGAGCCCATGTGTGCCAGACATGCTGTGCCGGCAGGCAGGGGCTGTGGGCAGGACCTCCCAACACCCCTCCCACACTTTCCACGTTGCTCCCCTCTCCCCCTCGAAGGGCCCTGAGGGACACTGGGGCAGTCAGACCCAGCTGTGGAAGCCCCGACCCCTACCTCCACGCAGCAGGGACCCCCCCATTCTTGAGTGCCCCTCCAAGGATGTCAAGATAACAAGACAGGGGGACAAGAGAATTGGTGTCCCTGACCCAGAGAGGATTTAGGCAGAGGGCATTGTGGGGAAGCCCTGACCCAGAGCCAGAACCAAGAGTTCAGCCAGGTATGGGATCGGTCCAGCCCTGGCATGGAGTGAGGGCAGAGGGGAACACGTGCCCAGGGCCTTCTCATGCTCTGTGGAGACAGGCCCCCATGTGAGGTGGCAAGAAAGCTGGGTGACAGTGTAGGTCCCTTCCCCCTTTGTTCTAAGTTGGGGCTGCCAAACAGCCCTGAGGTGGGGGCATGAGGCAGGAAACCCTGAGCCACCCGGAACGCTGGGGGCCATTCCAGGAGCGACCTGAGGTTCCTCGAAAGCTCCCCCATCTCAGACTACACACAGCCCTCGCACTGGGATCAGCTGCCTGCAGGGGCGTCCTCATTGTCAGGCTACGGGGCCACACAGGGACCCCGAGGACTCCAGAGACCCAGGCCTGTGGGAGGTAGCCCTGAAGAGACTAGATGGGCTTGGTGAAGATGCTAATCACGTCTTTCTTTTTTTCAGCAGAACTCGAGTGAGGATCCTCGAGGGTGTCCCCTGGCATTGGGCCCCTCTGTGAGTGGGACAGTCTGGCCCTCCCCACCCCACCTACTCAGTTCCAGGGACTCATGCCATCAGCCCCCAAGTGACAAAAGCCTTGACCTCCCCCAGCCTCGCCTGATGGGGCTGCCCCAAGGCTGAGGCCAAGGCCCATCAGCACGAAGGGGCTTCCCCAGAACCCAGGGCCGGGCTGCTCTCTGGGTAGCCCAGAGGATCAAGATGCGGCAAGCTTGTTTCCTGGTGAGGCCAGGACTCGTATTACACAGAAATACCTGTGCTGGAACTCTATGCCACACCTCCACACAGACCTGGATGCCGGGGATCCATGGTTTCCTACTACAATTTTGAACAGGGCTACTGGGCCCCTGTCACTTCAATCTCTTACCTGGACAGCCCTGGAACCACAGGACGGGCCTGGCCCAGCAAGCCCACTGGGACCCTGACATCAGGCCCTGCCCAGGCTTATTACAGAGGAGACAGCCCAAGAGACACCCCAGCAAGAAGGTGGAGCCTGTCTGCAAAGCCCCTCAGTAGGAGAACAGGGCGTGGAAGGACCCCAGGTGGCACCTGCGCAGCTGCCTCGCAGCTCCACATGGCTGCTGGACCTTGGTTCTGGACCTTGGGAAATGCCATTCAGTTGGGGACTTGGTCCCATCAAGGCCTCTAGAGGGAAGGCTGAGCATGGGGTTCCTGCAGACCCCGCCAGCCAGGAGTGTGCCCTGCAGCCTCTGACCTCACCTGTGTGTGGGTCCCAGGCCCAGAGGGGCCTGGCTTCAACCTGAGTCCTAGGAGGAGAAGGGCACCAGAGGCACCGCGGGCCCCCAGGGTGACCACACAGGGGACCAAGGCACTGCAAGACCTGATGCTGTAAGGATTCACATCGGAGAACCAGGGCAAGCCAGGAGACTGTGCAGGAACGAGGATGTGGAGGGCTGGTTCAAGGGGGTTAACAGCTGTGAACACTGCTGCCTCTTCCCAGCCTTTTCACTGCAGTGCAGGCAGTCTGATCTCTGGATCCCAGCCCAAAAGCACCCTGAGTGCCCTGGCTTGATATGCCAATATGCCACCTGGAGGCTTTGAGACCCTGCCTGCTGCATATCCACCTCACCACTGCTGATTGCCCCATCTGCTGAGAGACTTAGTATGGATTCCTGGGCTGGTGCCATTTCCCAGGAGGACCAGCTGGCTGCCTGTGGGCAGGCGGCCCACACCATGGAGGGGGCTGAGGTTGGCCTTCACTGCAGGAAGCCCCTACCTGGACATAGACTTGCCAGCCCTACCTGTCACCACCACAGCAGCCTACATGGCATTGCTGCCAACCAGGGAGCCCCATCCAGGCCAGTCTGCCCTGGCTGCTGTTTTCCCTCCTGTCACCCTCTCTTTGACTGCTTGTGTCAATAAAAGAACTGGCCAGTTTTCAGAAGAAAATGTGTCTTCATTATGACATAGGGGAGACTACAAAGCTTTAGGGGATGAGGAGGAGGAGTCACATCTCGTAATGAGAGGGGAAAGGAAAGGGTAAACATCTTGGTAAATAAAGTCTCCAACCACAGCACAGTCATTGACATTTTTTTCTTTTTCTTTTCAAACTTATAGTCAACGAAACAGTCAAATTGTCAAAAGAACAGCAATTTTACAAATGAAAAGTATACACACCATGTCATAATACAATAGCACTAGAGTCTACACCATGAACCAAAATAAAATTTGAAGCCCCCCCACCTCCCCTGTGACCGTCTGAATGTGTCACACACATTTGAACCAGAGTGACTCCATCTTGAATAAGGTCTAGGTAAAATAAGTCTGATACTTCCTGGGCTGCATTTGCAGGAGGTTACACATTCTTAGTCGTAGGATAAGATAGGAGATCAGCACAAGATACAGGTCACAAAGACCTTGCTGATAAAATAGGACACAGTAAAGCTGGCCAAAACCCACCAAAACCAAGATGGTGGTTAAGTGACCTCTGGTTGTCCTCATTGCTCATTATACACTAATTATAAGGCACTGGCATGCTGAAAGACTCCCGCCAGGGCCATGATAGTTTACAAATGCCATGGCAGCGCCCAGAAGTTATCCTCTATGGTCTAGTCTTGTCAATGAAAAAGAATCAAACTCTGTAAAATATTTGAAGAGATTTATTCTGAGCCAAATATGAGTGACCATGGTCCGGGACACAGCCCTTAGGAGATGGTGAGAACATGTACCCAAGGTGATCATGGTGCAGCTTGGTTTTATACATTTCAAAGAGACTTGAGACTTCAAACATATTTAAAAAATAAATTGGTTCGGTCCAGAAAAGCAGGACAACTTGCAGGGTCGGGGGGAGCTTCCAGCTCATAGGTAGATTTAAAAATTTTCTGGTTGACTGTTGGTTGAGTTTACCCAAAGACCTGGAATCAGCAGAAAGGAATGTCTGAGTTGTGATAAGAGGTTGTGAAGACCAAAGTTTTATCATGCAGATGAAGCCTCCAGGTAGCAGTCTTCAGAGAGAGGTTATAAAATGTTTCTCTTTTTTTGAGATGGGGTCTTATTCTGTTGCCAGGATAGAGTGCAGTGGCGTGTTCTCGGCTCACTGTAACCTCTGCCTCCTGGGTTCAAGTGATTCTCCTGCTTCAGCCTCCCAGGTAGCTGGGACTACAGGTGCGTGCCACCATGCTCAGCTAATTTTTGTATTTTCAGTAGAAACAGGGTTTTATCATGTTGGCCAGGATGATCTCGATCTCGACCTCGTGATCCGCCCACCTCAGCCTCCCAAAGTGCTGGGATTACAGGCATGAGCCACTGTGCCCGGCCCAGACTTCTCAATATTTGGGATCTAACAGACTTTATGATGTACTGAAAGTAAAACAAAAATAATTTTTAAAAAAGGCAAAATACATATTTTTATTTAGAATCTATAAGATGTTATAAAGTATGTTCTGCAATATTATTACCTGTTAACTTATTTAACCTCAGCATAGATTATTAGGACTGTTTGGCCAAAGAAGAAACTGAGGCCCAAATTGGGTAATCTCTAACCTTTTTTTTTTTTTTTGAGACGGAGTCTTGCACTGTTGTCCAGGCTGTAGTGCAGTGGCGTGATCTCAGCTCACTGCAATCTCTGCCTCCTGGGTTCAAGCTATTCTCCTGCCTCAGCCTCCCGAGTAGCTGTGTGCCACCACGCCCAGCTAATTTTTTTTTTTTTTTCTTTTTTGGGACGGAGTTTTGCTCTTGTTACCCAGGCTGGAGTGCAATGGTGCATCTTGGCTCACTGCAACCTCCGCCTCCTGGGTTCAGGCAATTCTCCTGCCTCAGCCTCCTGAGTAGCTGGGATTACAGGCACGCGCCACCATGCCCAGCTAATTTTTTGTATTTTTAGTAGAGACAGCGTTTCACCATGTTGGCCAGGATGGTCTCGATCTCCTGACCTCGTGATTCGCCCACCTTGGCCTTCCAAAGTGCTGGGAATATAGGCGTGAGCCACTGTGCCTGGCCACTTTTTTTTTTTTTAAGATGGAGTCTTGCTCTGTTGCCCAGGCTGGAGTGCAGTGGCACGATTTTGGCTTACTGCAAACTTCATCTCCCAGGTTCAAGTTATTCTTCTGCCCCAGCCTCTTGAGTAGCTGGGACTACAGATGTGTGCCACCACACCTGGTTAATTTTTTGTATTTTTAGTAGAGATGGGGTTTCACCATGTTGACCAGGCTGGTCTTGAACTGCTGACCTCAGGTGATCCAACTTCCTTGGCGTCCAAAGTGCTGGGATTACAGGCATGAGCCACCACATCCAACCTAAACTTCTTTTTTTTTTTTTTTTATATGGCGTCTGCCTCTGTCTACCAGGTCGGAGTGCAGTGGCACAATCTCGGCTCACTGCAACCTCTGCCTCCCAGGTTCAAGCAATTCTCCTGCCTCAGCCTCTCGAGTAGCTAGGATTACAGGCATGTGCTACCATGCCCAGCTAATTTTTGTATATTTAGGAGACACAGGGTTTCACCATGTTGGTTAGACTGGTCTCGATGTCTTGACCTAGTGATCCGTCCAGCTCGGCCTCCCAAATTCCTGGGATTACAGGCGTGAGCCACCGCACCCGGCCCCCTCCTAATCTTCTTAATGTTACTTTGTTTGTATGTGACGTATTTGGCATGTAAACCTAGTGCAGTTTCACAGTCTAATCCATATCCCTATTGCGAAGCATCTTCTCCTTTAAAACCTAATATATAATTAGAGTTTCATATGACTCACATATTTTTATAGTACACATTAATTGTGCATCTACTATGTATGCAATAGTAGACTATAGTAAGTTTCTAGCACATAAGCGCAGCTGCTGCTATCAAAATGCAGAGTTAGAGGGAGCTAAAAATAAGCCGAGTATCCTAAGTTTAGCTCCAAAGACCTTGAAAAATAAGTCAGATATATACTCCATGCATGAGAACAATTTTTCATTAATAAAATTAATTCAAATATTGTAATCTCAAATATTGATAACTGATGTTTATTCATACTACCTTAACTAAATTGAAGTCACATATACCTAATTAAAACAAAACTGTAATAGGTACAACTTAAATGTAATAGTCTTTAAGCCATAGAATTGCCCCAAGCCTCCAACAATTCAGTTATTTGAGATAAATAGGCAAATTCCCTGTTGTAAGAAAATTATATTTGGATTTCATAAGTGTAAGAGATGAGAGGCCCAGAATAAGCATTTTAATGAAGTTTATTTTTGGTTATCTAGAATTTCTTCTTATCAAAATATGTTTCTTTTTTTTTTCTTTTTCTTTTTTTTTTTTTTTTTGAGATGGAGTTTCACTCATGTTACCCAGGCTGGAGTGCAATGGCGCGATCTCGGCTCACCGCAACCTCCGCCTCCTGGGTTCAGGCAATTCTCCTGCCTCACTCAGCCTCCTGAGTAGCTGGGATTACAGGCACGTGCCACCATGCCCAGCTGATTTTTTGTATTTTTAGTAGAGACGGGGTTTCACTATGTTGACCAGGCTGGTCTCGATCTCTTGACCTCGTGATCCACCCGCCTCGGCCTCCCAAAGTGCTGGGATTACAGGCTTGAGCCACCGCGCCCGGCCATCAAAATATGTTTCTATAATCTGCAACGAATAAAAATAGAATAGATTGACTTTTCTCAGTGAGAACTCCTTCAAATCAAATGTAAATGACCAGGCAAGGCAGCTCATGCCTGTAATCCCAGCAATTTGGGAGGCTGAGGCGGGCGGATCATGAGATCAAGAGATCAAGACCATCCGGGTCAACATGGTGAAACCCTGTCTCTACTAAAAATACAAAAATTAGCCTGGGGTGGTAGTGTGCGCCTGTAGTCCCTGCTACTCGGGAGGCTGAGGCAGGGGAATTGCCTGAACCCAGGAGGCGGAGGTTGCGGTGAGCCGAGATCACACCATTACACTCCAGCCTGGGTAACAAAAGCGAAACTGTCTCAAAAAAACAAAACAAAACAAACAAACAAACAAAACTCTTAAGATTTAAAATAGATTAGATTTTACTCTAAAATCTGTCGTTCCATCTGATACTTTAAGTTTTACACATGCACAGTTTTATAATATCACTCATTAGACACTGTTTCACTGAGTTAAGCAGATCTTTTCAATGTTGGCACATTTCATTATACAATGTCAAATAAACAAACAAAAGCTTTGTTAAATCATTGCCAGCCTAGCAAGAAAGATCTTTAGGTTTTTGGACAGCAGTCTGGCTCACAGTAGTTGATAAAAGTTTTCCAAAATTCTAAGTTTTAATTGAAATTTTTAATTTCATCACTGACATAGAGGATATTGTTAGTTTTCCTTGAAGTGAGAAGCTCACTGTTTTTCACTTTATTCAGAGTTTACCATCTAGTAAATGTCACTTCTATTCTTCCGTAAGAAATCTGGAATCCTCTGGGACTGCTTTCTTTCTCTCGTACTCCAAATCAAGTCATCAGTAAACCGTGCTGGTGATTCTTTTAAAACATGTTGTAAATCCAAGCGTCTCTACAGGCCTATCTGCTGCCACCCCGCCAGCCACTATCATCCCAGGTCTCTACTAGCGACCTGTCCTAGATGCCTTTCACTCCTTCTGCTGCTTCTTTTGTCTTTCCAGGAAGCCACCTAGCTGATTTTTCAAAAATATCATTTAAAATGTCACCCTTTGGCTCAAATTCTTTAAATGAAGGCAAAACTCATGATTTCTTTTTTTTTTTTTTTTAATTTAACTTTTAAGCTCAGGGGTACATGTGCAGGTTTGTTACATAGGCACACTGGTGTCATGGGGGTTTGTTGTATAGATTATTTCATCACCCAGTTATTAAGCCTAGTACCCATTAGCTATTTTCCCGCTCTCCTCCCTCCTCCCACCCTCCACCCCCAAAAAGGCCAAAGTGTTTGTTGTTCTTTGCTATGCATCCATGTGTTCTCATCATTTAGCTCCCACTTATAAGCTTGCTAAGGATGGTGACCTCCAGCTCCATCCATGTCCTTGCAAACGATATGATCTCATTCTTTTTTATGGCTGCATATACTCCGTAGTGTATATACACCACATTATCCAGTCTATCACTGATGGGCATTTGGGTTGATTTCATGCTTTGGTATTGTTGACTAGTGCTGGAATGAACATACACATGCACACATCTTTATAAAAAAATGATTTCTATTCCTTTGGGTATATACCCAGTAATGGGATTGCTTTGTTGAATGGTATCTCTGTCTTAGGTCTTTGAGGAATTGCCACTGTCTTCTACAAGGTCTTAATGTACACTTCCATCAACAGTGTGTAAGTGTTGCTTTTTTTGCCACAACATTGCCAGCATCTGTTATTTTTTGACTTTTCAGTAGTAGCCATTCTGACTGGTGTGACATCGTATCTCATTGTGGTTTTGAGTTGCATTTCTCTAATGATCAGTGATGTTGAATGTCTTCTCAAAAGAAAACTCATTTTTCTTACACTGTTGAGCTGATTACCATCAGTTCGAAACCTCACCCCTATGCCCTGCTTGCCGGCTTTGCCTTGTCTGCGGCACAGTGTGAAACTTCATCTGCAGCATCTGCTAGAGGGACCTGGAGAAGGCTGGGGCTCTTCTTCCTGGTACTGAGTGATCCTCTTAGCTTGCTCTTGTGGTGCGCAGCAGCCAACAGTGGCTATCACCTCTCTGGGGACAGAGCAGCTCCTGGGCAGTGCTTGGCGAAGCAGCTTCCCAATGTTTTGTCAGTGTAGCCCCTCAGCAAAATTTTCTGCTGTTGAGCAGGCCACAGCCTCACTCTTTCCAAGGAGATCTAGCGCTCACTTCTGGTGTGTGGGGGATTCTTCCAGACTGGTTTCTTCCTGCAGTGCTTTCCTGAAGCCCTGGAGAGCGCCGTGGTAGCTCCCTAAATTTGCTATCCCTATTTTTTTTGTAGTGTTTGCTTTGCCTTTTACAAGCTTGTCCAACCCACAGTCCAGTACTGCTTTGAATGAAGCCCAACACAAATTTGTCAACTTTCTTTAAGCACTATGAGATTTTTGGCTGGGAGCCAGTGGTTCGCGCCTACAATCCCAGCACTTTGGGAGGCCAAGGCAGGCAGATCACTTGAGGTCAGGAGTTCGAGATCGGCCTGGCCAACAGGGTGAAAATCCATCTTTCTCTACTAAAAGTACAAAAATTAGTCAGGTGTAGTGGCACACGCCTGTAATCCCACCTACTCAGAAGGCCTTGCTTGACACCAAGTTGTTCTCTAAATAACTCGTGCCTACTTGACTCCATATCGTTCTCTAAACCTCATGTGGAGACCTCTTGCCTTTCTCCTTCATGACCTGTAGGGCAGGGCCAAGGGGAGGAAGCAGCTTCAGAACAGACAAAACACTCCCTGCCCCAAATGGCAGTCATCCCACAGTCAGCACTTCTGGAAGGAAAGGAGGAAGGTTTCCTTCTGCAGAAAGCTCCTTTTTTGCCTTGTTTCTGAAGCCAGGAAGGGTCAGCAGAGTCCAGCGCACCTGTGGTGCCTGAGTCACCGTCTGTACCTAGATGTGCATCTGTCCATAGCCCCCGCCCCCAACCCAGGCTCAACATTCCGTCCAGCTGGAGTCCTGTGCTCCTGACACAGCCTGGCCTGTTTGTCCTGCCCTGGCCAAGTCTGTGAGGGCTGTACCTTGTATTCTCCTGGGTTCTCAGCCTTGACTTCCTCAAAGTCTAGCAGTAGTGAGCATGCCCAGTCCTGCAACAGTGGGGGGAATTCCTTTGAAGACCTTGCAAGACAGAAACAGACAGAAGAAGGCTCCAGTGAGACAGGACATGGGGCAACCCGTGGGAGGATCAGAGCGTGAGGATTCTGGGAGTCTGCAGCCATTGGCTCCTTGGTTCCCAAAGAGAGGTGGGGTTTCCTGGGAGTAGGCCTTTCCCCAACAATTGAAAGTGTGCATGAGCACTCAGTGTTGTGCACTCCAACCTGGACCTATTCCTTTTTTTGAGTCACCAGGATGCATCCCTACCCCTGAGCTATGGGTGGCCCAAGTCCTGGCAATAGGTTTTCTCCCAGAAAGGCGATGCTTGCATGGACGGGCAGGACACTGGTAACCCGGCCTGCTGTTCTCTGGGTGAGGTACGGGGTGCCACCCACCCACTAAGAGACAGATGGTGCCAGGTCACGGCCATAGGTGCCTGTCTCCTGGCTCTGTAGAAGGCCACTATGTACAGGGGCCACTCCCTCCGCATGGTACCTTCTTGCTGCTCCTATATTGTGGCCAGTCTCCAAGCATCTTCAGCCACTTCTCAGTTCATTTTATTTCCTGATGTCTTTGCTGTCAAATGAGCCATTGATGGAGTTGGCGGAGCTGCCAGGCCTTCGCCAGTGGCCCATGGATGCTGGGTCCTGGGCTCTAGGAACTGGAAGGAACCAGGAAAGGACAGACCCTGGGGGCTGAGACCCTCTGATAGAACAAGCACCAGCTGCCTGCCTCATCACGCCAGGACTCAGCATCCTCAGATCACACAAACCCTGGGTTTGGTTGTTTCTAAGCCTTCAGCTTGGGTCCTGGAACAAGAAGAAGGCAGTGACTTCTGAACAAGACTGTGATTCTTGGTTTGGGTTTGTATCGGGAATAGAGTCTTGGGGTCAGGTGGAGCAGGAACTGCCATTTCTTCCAGTGACAGCGTGTCACTCTAAGTCACCACCACTTCGGCCCACAGGCTGTCCCCCTCTGCCTCACTGACCAGCCCTGCTTCCCTGTCCCTGGGAAAGCCTCCCAAGTAGCAGACACAGGTTCTTATCTTTACCTCCAGGGCACTGACAGGGGCAGCTCCGTCTCACTGTAAGGCAACCCAGGCAGAGCTGGGGACCTGACCAGGCCAGGATCCATCCCCATCCCAGAGAGGACCTCAGGGAAGGACCAGCCCATCCCCATCTACCCTAAGTCTCAGCCCGGGAGAAGGCACAGGGAAGGAAGGCAAAAGCCTCCCTGTGGAGCTGACAGCCTGCATAAATGACCAATGTAAAACATTCTAGACTAAAGATGGGGTCCTTGTCACACAGTCATGAAATATTAGGCTCACAGACACTTTGAAGGGTGAGAAAAATAAAATTCATTAAGCAAAAAGGATAAAGAGGAACCAGGGAGCCTCAGCAGAGCGAGAGTTACGCTAGCATAGGCTTCTCTCTTCACAGATTGAATTCCAGATTCCACACAGGAAGGGAAGAGGTCAGGCTCTCCACTCTGCAACTCCCTGTAAAGAAGTACATCCAACTGCCGATAGAATAAGGATGCTGCTTCCAACTGTCAGGGGCGGTTTTGGGAAAACAGCACTCAGAGTCCCCTCAGAGGCCTATCTAAGGGTCCCTGGCAGAGAGGTTATTGTCCGAGGCTCCAGCTGCTTGACCATTCAAGCTTTGATGGCTGAAGGTGAGACAACACACACCAGATTATTAGAAGACATGTATCAAAACAAAGTGAGCCGGGCGCGATGGCTCATGCCTATTATCCCAGCACTTTTTAGAGGCTGAGGCAGGAGTTTGAGACCAGTCTGGCCAACAGAGTGAAACCCTGTCTCTACTAAAAATACAAAAAATACAAACCACTACATGGGCATGGTGTGAGGTGCCTATAATCCCAGCTACTAGGGAGGCTGAGGCAGAAGAATCTCTTGAACCCGGGAAGTGGAGGTTGGTGAGCCGAGATCTCACCATTGCACTCCAGCTTGGGCTACAAGAGAGAAACTCTTTCTCAAACAAAACAAAACAAATCAAAGCGAATCAAAACAAGGGGAGGGCTAAGGACAGCTAAAAAGTCCCAAGTCCTTTTACCGGTTTGCACAGGGAGAGGGAGGCCAAAAGCCCCACAGGTAAAAAGAAACTTGTTCCTTTGGCCAGCATGTTGTGCTTCTGGGTTCCCTTCCCCTGAGCCCAATCCTAAGCCAACCAGGTTTGAAAAATTAACAAATTTTCTCAGTTTGGAGGATGCGTCTGAGGAAAGTGTCCCATAGTATAGAGACAGAATTGCCTGTCTGTGAAGAGAGGACAGAAGAGGAGAAAGAAACAAATGTTTTTTCAAAGGAGTCCCAGGGGTTCCGAATGGATTTCAAAGGCGTACAGATGGAAGATGGATGGCTACCCATCCAAAAACAGGGATGCAGGCACACCTGGTTTCCTTCTCTTCCTAGCAGATATACCATGGGTATGTCAGGAAGAGAAGGGTGTCCTCTTGCCCTCTTCTGTCCTTGCATCCCTGAGTCCCAGCAACCTTGGCAGGCACCAACCATAGGTGCCAAAGCAGCTTGCATTCATGAAGCAGGGAGGGTCTAGAGAATAAGAATTCGTCACTCTCACCCCATCTCTAGCCCACCTACTCTCAGTAGCCTTGGAGTTCCCTAAACCTCATTTATGCCATGGATGCTACTCACCCATGAAAAGGAACAATATAATGGATGAAACTGGAGACCATTGTTCTAAGTGAAGTAACTGAGGAATAGAAATCCAAACATCTTAGGTTCTCACTCAAAAGTGGGAACTAAGCTATGAGGATGCAAAGGCATAAGAATGATACAATGGATTTGGGGGCTTTGGGGGAAAGGGCAGGAGGTGGGTGAGGGAAAAAGACTACACATTGGGTAGTGTACACTGCTCAGGGATGGGTCCACCAAAATCTCAAAAATCACCACTGAAGAACAAGAAAGCAGGAACCGTTTCTGCATATGTTCCAAATAATATTAAATGCTCAATCAATATTTCTTCAAAAACAAGCCAGCACTAGTACCAAGTGTTAGAAATAAAAACATTAAAATTATTTCAATTATTCATTTTGAAATAAAATGTAAAGAACTATCTTTTTTTTTGTGGTGGTGATTTTGTTGTGGCGTAACCAAACACCTGTTACCCCAAAAACTTTTTAAATTAAAAAAAAATGAAAAAATTTAAAAGTCTACGATAGAAAAAAAAAGAGGTCTTATGAATCTGTAAGTCATATTTCTGACAGCATGCCAAATAGATTTATGTATTTATATGTTGTGTACACAATATTTCTCTACTATAGAAAGCTCTAATTCACTGACTTAAAGAAAAATACAAGTACATAAGTCAACCATTTTATCAATAAAAAGACTAGTCAAATGCTTTTTCACATTTATGTGACTTAAGTAAAATCTTTTATAAATAAGCTGACTTTCAAATTATTGGGAAAATATTAGAAATGCTGTGAAAATTTCTAGCATTTTCATTTGTACTTGTTGATCAAGTGATTTCATGCTTATTCCTGCAGAATACTATTAAGATTTGTTATAAGTGTTATAAAACTATAAAACCCAGCCCAAGACAGAATGATCTTTGCTTGTGTAATTTTTGATAAAAAAGACATGGAATAATTTGGTTTAATGAAAACATCTACATTCTGAGTTATTGGTAAAATACTCTTATATTTAACCTTAAGAAAATTACTTAAATAGGCTGGGCACAGTGGCTCATGCCTCTAATTTGGGAGTACTTCGGGAGGCTGAGGTGGGGGCCAATCACCTGATGGAAGAAGTTCAAGACCAGCCTGGCCAACACGGTGAAACCCTGTCTCTACCTAAAGTACAAAACAATTAGCCTGTGTGGTGGCAGGTACCTGTAGTCCCAGCTACTTGGGAGGCTTAGGCAAGAGAATCAGTTGAACCCAGGAGGCGGAGGTAGCAGTGAGCCGAGATTGCACCACTGCACTCCAGCCTGGGCAATAAAAGCAAAACTGTCTCAAACAAACAAACAAAAAAAGAAAAGAAAATTACTTAAACACCTGAAATTCATAGCTACAAAAATGGTTAACAGGGAATTTACTTAAATAATGACTATCACAGTTTTCATAATCTAGATAAAATATTAAATTATCTTGTAAATGTAATGGAATAAATGGTTGTAAACAGACTTGTCATATGACTTGGTATCTAAGGTTATTAATAGATATTAAGTAGTTGGGTAATTTCCAACCCAAAAAATGTAGGAAAACATTTTTAAAATGTTCTTATTAGAAGGTAAATATCTTTGTCTAATTCAAAGCTTCTATAAAAGTTATGTATATAATGAGGTAATAGGAACCAGGAAATAAGAGAAGAAAGTTAAAGACATAAAGAGGTATTTTTGATAAAGGTGAAAAACAGCAATTTTATATAAGAAGCAATTTTGTGTGATAAATTTTTTGTCCTAAAATAAAATGACCGGGTTGTTCAAGAAAGAGAATATTTAGGCAAAACAGAAAGTCTAAGCATGTTGTGAATTGTAATAAGATTAGTTAATGGAAACTTTTTTTTTTTTTTTTTTTAGATAACAGGGTGGTAAAATTTAGTTGGATATGAGTAAGAAGAAAATTATAATAGTCTTTCTAGAGGTGGGTTTTTATATTAACAAAATTACACGAATACAAACTGTAATTGGTTAAAACAAGATTTTATTTGAAATATGTAAAAGAGTTTATTTAAAATATTTGTTTATTTATTTATCAGACAGAGTCTCACTCTGTCACCCTGGAGTGCACTGGTGCAATCTCGGCTCGCTGCAGCCTTTGCCCCCTGAGTTCCAGGAATTCCACCACAACTTTGCTTAAGTTTCTCTCCTTGCCCCAGCTCTCGGACTCTGCTCTGCCTTCAGTCTGAGCCAACATTCAAGCCCCGTTTATGCCCCTCCTAAGAACAGGCTGACTTTTGGGTGAAACGTTCCCTAAGCTTGAATCTGATTTTGCCATTCTCCACTCTTCCTCCCACCGTCCTTCTAATCTTGTTTGCTCCTCCATAAATAACACAGCCCTTTTCTGCCTCTTGTGAGATGCTTGCAGATCTGATGCTTGGTGCTTTCCCCATTGCAATACAGTACTCCTTTAGAATAAAGTCACGTCTTACCTACATCTGAATTTATTTGACAATATCTAGAAACAGCCTCAGGAAAATCACAATTATTCCCTCAGAGAGGACATCACAACCTACCTCCTATTCTCAAATCTGATCATGTGTGCGTGTGCATTCCCAGCTTTCCAGAGCTCTGTAGCTTCTCTCAGTACAAAGGCTCTGTCTATGGCTGCTGCGAGCAGGCTGGGACACCTGAAGGGGAGGACCCCCAGGAAGAAAAGACTGTGCTATTCATTAACTCCTTGGACATGTTTTAATACTAATACTGCAATTTGGGGGAAAAGAAAAAATATTTTTAAAAAACAGAAAAGTTATCTTTAAAATCTAAAAAATTTAAACTATTGTTTTAAAAGCCTTACACAGGCCAGGTGCCCCTGTAATCCCAGCTATTTAAAATAAAACATTTAATTAAGGAGGGAGGCTGAGGCAGGAGACTGGCTTGAACCCAGGAGGTGGAAATTGCATTGAGCTGAGATCATGCCACTGCACTCTAGCCTGGCAACAGAGTGAGACTCATCTGAAAACAAAACAAAAAAAGCCTTACATAGTTCACAGCTATCAGCCCACACACTAAGCAAGTTATCTGTGAGTGGGTAGAAGTGGTTATTCTGGAGCGGTTTCTATAACTCTGTTTACATTAAAAGGGACAGAAGAGTGTAAGGCTGCGTTGTTGCCCTGACAAGGTCCCACTTACTATAAAGTGCAGTCTTAGCTCTCCTTGAGTTAACTTGTGTTGAGGTATTTCTTCTTTTGAAAATACGAATTTTTCTAGTTCTTTAGCAGGAGAGGTGGTATTCTCCTGTCTTTTTTGATGAGGGGTTCAGATGTTACATTACCCCTCATTTCTTCCTTCAGGAGAGGACGGCCTTAGCGTGCTGAAGACGAATTAAATCGTCAGCACTGAAAGACCAATTCTTGTGAACAGCATAGAACACTTCATCTTGTTCCATCCTTGATAAAGCCTAAGAATGTCAAATAGAAAAGAGGTACAATTTTAAAAAGAGTTCCAACCTTTTACCAGTCACCACTGATGGTAAGCCACACATGCAGACTCCTTCAGATAGTTCAGCTACAGCTACTTTGGCTGAGGTTTACACTGCCAACTTCTGGCAGCTTACTTAGGTCATCTCCTTTCAGGGCTAGAATTAGATTGCTGGAGCAAACGGGAACTTGCTTTATTAAGTTACTTAAAACTTGGGCTCCCAAAAATGTCACAGTATTGTCACAGGCTTCTAACAGTATCATCTGTTACCTGTGCACTTGTGCCTTAAAAATAACGAATGCATAATTTTGCGAAAAGTTAGTTTATTAATCTATTCAAATTCTACCCAATCTGTAAGTTATTATATACTCAGAAAATTTTAACCAGGCAGGCATGTGCTGGATTGTATTGAAATGTCAACAAAGTCTAATGATTAATCATCAAAAGGCACCACTTTTATGCTTAGGGTAGAAAATTGTATTATTTTAAAATACTTCCATGATGCCACAGAACATGCCTATGTTAAATGTTCATCCATGTCAGCTGTGAGTAATTTTGCTGTGTACTTACCAAAAGTCACAAACCATAAAAATTACTTTGTCCCATAAAAGTTATCATTTCCAGTAAAATCCCATGTACTTCCTGCAGCCGGTACTTGAGGCACGCGGCTTAGGCACTAATGGTTTGTCTAACACACCCATGGGACTGACTGCACTGTGGTACACACAGTAGAAAATGACAGAAATTTGCTAACTGAGTACTAAAAAGTAGTCAAGAGTGGTAAGTGCATTATGTATGTAGACATCGTTAGAAGTACAATGGCAAGAAATCATTTCTGTATGATTATTTGCAAGGGCAAAAGTTCAAAATGTTCAAATTCATTAAGAATGAATTTAATTTGATTAAAACATTCTGAATTATGGCCACAAAAGAGATAATATCTATAATTTTCAAAAAACATGACTCTTTATAAAAACCATAAAAGATACAGGAAATAGAATGTTAAAAGGTTAATAAGCTCTTCAGTATGTTAGTTAATTTCAAAGCTTTCCATTTTTCTAATCACTACTTAATATGACCTAGTCATAAATGGTGACACTGGTGTTTGACTGAAAACCCACTTAGTAACTTCGTAGCCTTACCTGCAGATCCCATGCTCTTTCTCTGTCAAGAAGGTAATGTGGCAAACCCAGGCCATGCCTGAATGCCAAGGCACGAAGACAGAAGTAGTATCTGGTATAAACGCTTACAGACACATTGGTATTAGATTTAATTAGCTCTGAGAAGTACATTTGCAACTCATTCCTGGGGAAGCAGAAACACAACAAAACCAACACAGGATGATATTAGTTCACTGGGCTATCTTCAAAAACATTATTCTTATGTAAGGAATGTGGTAAAGCTATCATGTGCTCTAGTTTATTAGAATTCATTAAATAACTCACACTGGACAGAACCTGATCGAGTGAAGAAATACAAGAAAGCATGCAACTTTCCCAGTCCTCTTTGAAAACTCAGAAAAAACTTGTACTGAAAACGAAACATGAATGTAAAAAATGTGTTAATAAACTTGATTTTCCCCTATGCTTTCAAAGACATATTCACATTTAATATGGAGAAAAATGACTTAATCTTAAGAAACATGGTAAAGCCTTCAGCTTTTTTATTTCTTTGAAAACATGAAAGGATTCAATGGAGAAATTCCTTATAAATACAAACATGTGGTAAGGTCTTCAGTTGTTCCAGTTCCACATGAAGATAAGAACTCATTTCTGAAATAAAACCTATGCATGTATAGAATGTAGAAATGCCTCCATTTACATGATGTTTGCTCCAAGACCTATGAAAATACACACCGTAGATAGGCCTTATAAATATAAGAAAGCACATTGGGTTGGAACCCTGGTAGATTACCAAATACAGAAAAGTTAACAGTTTTAAGAATTTCTTCAACATCGATGTGAAAACTTTCCCTAGAGGGAAATCCTACTAATGTTTATAAATTGAAAAGCCTGATGCAAATTGATTCTTATATAACCTCCAAAATGTACATAAGTAAATGTTATCCTTCTTCTGTTTTGTTTCTCAGTGATTCTTCATTTGAAAGGGTCTCTGTACTTACTTCCGCTTCTTTTGCAAGAAAACACTGAGGTTACAATTTTGTAGATACCCTTTAAACAATACTATATGCATTTAATAGGCAGTATTTTTTTGTTAAGTCAGTTAACAAAACTTTTCTCTAGTTATTTAAAAATATCACACTGAGCTACTAGAATGCCTCCAAATTCTGTTTTGAAACACATGCAGGTGGGTTCCTACACTAATGGCCAAACAGGACACAGCTGCTTGCAGTCCATTCTGCATCCAGCACCCCAAGTTTGGGATGAGGAGAAAGGTGACAGCCTCCTCTGTACTTGTGCAGCTGACTTGGGGCTCATTCTTGAGTGTCCATTGCACAACTCAGACTTCATGCTCACTCCCAAGGCACCGCAGTAGTGATCAGATGACAGAAATGATGGATGCCACTTATCAGCTGTCACTATTACAGGCCAGGAATACTCTTTACACTTCCAACGGTAGAAAGATCAGAGAGAGACATCTTGGCTAAACTAAACTCATTTTATGAGATGCTTTCTGTTAGAGCGCCAGCCTTACACAATATTTCTCCTGACTTGAGTTAGAAATGAAACTCCAAGGTGCGCAGCATCTGTCACCACTGGCCACAACAGAATGTGGGGATGAGTTGAATGCACTGAGAGGGGAACAGGCTGGAAGCAGCCCTCTGCCACATGATTATTCAGCTGTCCTGGCCAAAGGTTTTGTTTTTGTTTTTTTGAAACAGGGTGTTGCTGCTCTGTCATCCAGGCTAAAGTAAAGTGGCTTGATTCTAGCTCACGGTAGACTCAACCTCCCAGGCTCAAGTAACCCATGCACCTAAGCCTTTCAAGGCTTGGAACTATAGGCTCATGCCACTTAGCTGGGTGATTTTTAAAAATTCTTTTTGTAGAGATGGGGTCTCACATTTTGCCCAGGCTGGTGTTAAACTCCTGTGATCAAGTGGATACTCCCACCTTGGCCTCCCAAAGTGCTGCTACTACAGGCATGAGCCACTGTATTCAGCACTTGGTCAAACGTTTAAATAAATACAAAACTAGAGTAATCTTACCACTCCCATAGTAATCAATGTAAAGACTTAATTGTGTAAAAACAATAGCTCAACAACACATTTGGTTTCTTGCTTTTAAAGTTTCAATGTTTTATCCACTGGCTAAGTCAAGAAACGCTTGAAGTTCTCCAGTATGGAAAGCAGTTAGGATATAAGCAGATATGTGGTTTTCTCATTGGTTTCACTGAAAACCCAGCTGAAACTACTTCCAACATTAATTTCCTATTCATATAACCACAAAGCTATGATGGGAATGTAAATCAGATATTTGAATAATCAGCTGACCAGGATTTAATTTACTATAGGAATATATGCACTTCATAATCTCTTTTGTGTATTTCCATAAACATATTTTAACTATGTAAAATATGGGATTTCATAGAATGGTCTTGTTTATTAATACTAGTTATTGAAGAAAATAATTATCCCTACAGGATATATATCTTCTTAGTTTTTCTTGTTTTTTAAATGGCTGAATAACATACCCTTTACAAGCACAGCAAATTTTCTGACCAGAAACTACTCAGTTTAACTTAACATGTATGTGTGTGTGTGTATATGTGTATATATGTAAGTTGTTTATCAATAATGTTTTTAAATTTTATTTCAATAGTTTTTGAGGAACAGGTGGTTTTGGTTACATGGATAATTTCTTTAGGAGTGACATCGGAGCTTCTGGTTCACCTGCCACTTGAGCAGTGTACCCAATATGTAATCTTTTATCCATCCCTTCCAACCACCCTCCCCTAGTCCCCAAAGACCATTGTATCATTTTATGACTTTGGATCCTTGTGGAGAATACATGATATTTGGTTTTCCATTCCTGAGTTACTTCACTTAGAATAACGGCCTCCAGCTCCATCCAAGTTGCTGTAAAGGCCATTATTTCATTCTGTTTTATGGCTCAGCAGTATTCCATGGTATACATATTCCACATTTTCTTTGCCCATTAATTGATGGGCATTGAGGCTGGTTCCACATTTTTACAACTGCAAACTGTGCTGCTATCAACATGCATGTGCATTTGTCTTTTTCATATGACTTCTTTTCCTTTGGGTAGATACCCAGTGTGAGATAGCTGGATTGAATGGCAGTACTGTTTTCCACAGTAGCTGTACTAGTTTACATTCCCATCAGCAGTGTCAGTGTTCCCTTTTTACCAATCAATACCAGCATAAATGATATTTTGATTTTTTAATTATGGTCCATTCTTGCAGGAATAAGGTGGTATTACATTGTAGTTTTAATTTGCATTTCCCTGATAATTAGTGATGTTTCTGAAGAAAAATACATTCTAACAAGACTAACAGATGTTGAAAGTTTAAAGAAAAATCTGATAGACACTAATTTTTAAAAGTTTAGATTTACAGTCAAAAAGAGACCATTATAAATAATCAACAGCAGGGGGAGAAGATAAATGTCCATTAAACACTTTGTTGTAATGTTTTTTAATCTCCAAAGATCGTGAACAAAACTCCTGTTCAGAGCATAGCTCCTGATGCTTCTGCGTTCACAAACGGCACTATGTAGAACCAGTCATCTTGGGGCTGGCCTCTGTCTCACTGCCTCTGGAGCTCATATCTGGGGAAACCCTCACATTTCCCTGTGCATTCTCTGACCTTGGAACTAGAGCTAGAGCCCCACAAGATTAGCTGCAGGTCTTGAGATCAATTTAACTGCCACTATAGTGGAGCTAAGTGTCCATAATTACAAATTTTGCTCCCTTCAAGAAACCAGTTTACAAGCTGGGTGCAGTGGCTCATGCCTGTAATCCCAGCACTTTGGGAGGCTAAGATGGGTGGATCATCTGAGGTCGGGAGTTCGAGACCAGCATGACCCATGGAGAAACAACATGGAGAAACCCCTGAAGGGGGAAATTAAATAATAACAATAGTAATCTGTAATTGCTACATAATAAAGTTTAATCTATTGTGTTCAATATAAAACCTAACGCCCAGCTCTGCTTGAAATTAACTAACTCCCTGTAAAATCTACCCTATCTACTCTCCCCATTTTCTCAGCAAAGTTCCTAGGCATCTCAAGACTCCCATTTTTCTTGCAGACCAGCTGCAAGGTCACAGGGTAATATAACACCCAAAGAATGTGCAGTGTGTTTCTCAAAATGCGTTTTTCAAATGTAACGTACATCACGAGACATGTCACAAGTTAACTGTTCTTTGCTCTGGCTTCTGTAAACCTGTTAGCTGCTATGTCATCCCGGGTGTATAACAAATCAAGCCCTGTCTTTGTTAGGCTCTCAGCCTAGGGATGCAAATCCTCCGAGCTGGTGGCCTCTGTAATAAAATCCTCCTGTTTCACCCATTGGTCTCTCCAATCTCCTGAACATGGTGTAACACCCCATCTCTACTAATAATAGAAAATTAGCCAGGCGTGGTGGCACATGCCTGTAATCCCAGTTACTCAGGAGGTTGAGGCAGGAGAAATGCTTGAACCCAGGAGGCAGAGGTTGCGGTGAGCCAAGATCACACCATTGCACGTTGTTGCCTAGGCAACAAGAGCAAACTCCATCTCACACACACACAAAAAGATAAGAAACCAGTTTACAGATTGATGACAGTAGTGATTAAGAGAACTTTAGTTTCTGCAACTTTCAAATGACATTTATTTTCTGTTAAATCCTTTATTAAAATGGCTACTAGCAATATCACCATGACAACTCAGTTTATACTATTAGCAAAGTGGTAACTTAGCAGCCATTTGAACAGCAACCAACTGTCACTAGTCTCTTCTTGGTTACAAGAAGCCTCATTTCAATTGTAAATATAGACTGTGTTAATTCTAAATGAAAGTCTTCAAAAAATTTTGGGGGGTATATTGTAGGTGTACATATTTATGGGGAATATAAAATTATTTGATACAGGTCTATAATGTGTAATAATCACAGTAGGGTAAATGGAAAATCCATCACACCTCAAGCATGTATCCTTTTATTTATTTATTTTTTTTATAAATCATTCAATTACACTCTTTTAGTTACTGTAAAATGTACAATTCAATAATTCGTGGCTGTTGTCACCCTGTTGTGCTATCAAATACTAGATGTGGCCGGGCGCGGTGGCTCAAGCCTGTAATCCCAGCACTTTGGGAGGCCGAGGCGGGTGGATCACGAGGTCAAGAGATCGAGACCATCCTGGTCAACATGGTGAAACCCCGTCTCTACTAAAAATACAAAAAATCAGCTGGGCATGGTGGCACGTGCCTGTAATCCCAGCTACTTAGGAGGCTGAGGCAGGAGAATTGCCTGAACCCGGGAGGCGGAGGTTGCGGTGAGCCGAGATCGCGCCATTGCACTCCAGCCTGGGTAACGAGAGCGAAACTCCGTCCCAAAAAAAAAAAAAAAAATACTAGATGTTATTTATTCTTTCTAACCAAATGTGTGCACCTATTAACCATCACCCCTTACCCCTCTCATCCTCCATACTACTTTCACCAGCAGCCGCAAACAATTCTCCTGCTCTCTATCTTCATGAGTTAAACTGTTTAAATTTTTAGTTCCCACAAATAAGCGAGAATAGGTGCTTTGGCTTTTAGTGTCTGGCTTATTTCACTTAAACTTTCCATCCATGTTGTTGCAAATAACAGGATCTCATTCTCTTTTATGGTTGAAGAGTGCTCCATTGTGTATATGAACCATTTTCTTTAGCCACTCATCTGTTGATGAATACTCTGAATGCTTCCAAATCTTGGCTGCTGTGAATAGTGCTGCAACATACATGAGAGTGCAGGTACCTCTCTGATACACTGATTTCCTTTCTTTTGGGTATATACCCAGCAGCCAGATTCCTGGATCATATGTTGGCTCTATTTTTAGTTCTGAGGACCTCCAAACTGTTCTCCATAGTGGTTGTGTTTAAATTACATTCCCACTGACAGCGTACAAGGGTCACCTTTTCTCTAAATCCTCGCTGGCATTTGTTATTGCCTGTTTTTAGAATAAGAGCCATTTTAAGTATGGTGAGATGATCTCTCATTGTAATTTTGATTTGCATTTCTCTGAAGATCAACGACATTGATGTTGAGTATCTTTTCACATACCTGTTTACCATTGGTATTTATTAAGGAGTTTTCAAACAGGTCTCACTTTGTTAATCAGGTTGGAGTGCAGTGGCAGAATCACAGTTCACTGCAGCCTTGACCTAGCAGGCTCAGGTAATTTTCACACCCAAGCCTCCTAAACAGCTAAAATTACAGGCACATGCCACCAAGCCTGCCTAATGTGTCCTCTTTTCAGAAATGTCTATTCAGATATTTTGCCGATTTTAAAAATCAGATTTTTTTTTTCTATGGAGTTATTTGAGCTCCTTAAGTATTCTGGTAATTAATTCCTTGTCAGATAGTTTTCAAATACCTTCCCCGATTCTGTGGGTTGTTGCTTCACTCTGTTCACTGTTTCCTTTGCTGTGCAGAAGTTTTTTAACTTGATGTGACCTAGTTTGCCCATTTTTGCTTTGGTTGCCTGTGCTTATAAAATGTCATGCAAGAAATATTTGCCCAGTCCAATATCGTGGAGTTTTCCCAATGTTTTATTTTATTTTCCTATTTGAGATATTAGATTTAAATCTATTTTTAGTTTTTTGAAAGACAGAGATGCTGCATTGCCCAGGTAGCCTCGAACTCCTGCGCTCAAGCCATTCTCCCATCTTGGCCTCCCAAAGTGCCAGGATTACAAGTGTGAGACGCCGCGTCCAGCCAAGATTTGCATCTTTAATCCATTTTGATTTGATTTTTGTATAAGGTAAGAAATAGAGGCCTGGTTTCATTCTTCTGCATATGGATGTCCAGTTTTCCCAGCACCACTTACTGACGAGACTGTCATTACCACATTGCATGTGCTCGGCACCTTCTTAGAAATGAGTTCACTGCAGATGTATGAATTGGTTTCTGGGTTTTCTATTCTGTTCCATGGGTCTATGTGTCTGTTTTTAATCACAGTGCCATGCTGTTCTGGTTACTATAGGTGTAGAGGGTAATTTGAAATTAGATAATGTAATTCCTCCAGGTTTGTGTGTTGCCTATACATTTTAGGATTCATTTTTTAATTTCTATTTCTGTGAAAAATGTCATTGGTTTTTGAAGAATTGTGGAGGTTCCACATTGGTGGTCTGAGATCAGACCTGAAGGAACTCTCTAGATTAGGGGACAGAGACTCGCTTCTTCCCTTACTTTCCCACAAATGAAGTCTGTCTCTCTGTGCTAGGCTGCCTGGAGCTGGGAGAGGATTGATACAAGCACCCCTGTGGCCATGACCTCTGGGACAGCACTAGGTCTGTCCAGACGGCACTAGGTCTGAAGGCGACACAGCTCTGCGACTGCACAAGGTCCACTGTTACAACTACCCGCTGCCATCTATGTCACTCAAGGCTCCAGGGCTCTACAATCAGCAGGTAGTGAAGCCAGCCAGGCCTCTGACCTTTCCTTAAGTGCAGTTAAGTTCCCCTGGTCCCTGGATGGGTTCAGAGGTGCTGTCTGGGAGCCAGGGGTGGAGTCATAAACCTTAGACTCCACCTGAGGTGGGGGTCTGAATGGGACCTGAAATGGGAGTCTCTACCTGGTATTCTGTTCTACCATGGCTGAGCTGGTACTGAATCCACCAGACAAATCCCTTTCCACTCTTCCCTCTCTTTTCCCCAGGCAGAGTAGTCTGTTCCCACTCAAAACATCGTAGCAGTCCCATGGGGATCAGTGTTAGGTCACCACTGATGTTCATTTAATGCCCAAGGGCTCTCAGTGAGCTTGTGAGTGCTGCCTGCCCTGGAACTCACTCTTCAGGGCAGTGGGCTCCCCTCTGGCCCAGGGTAGGTCCAGAGATGCCATCAAAGGGCCAAGGCCTGGATCATGGACTCCTACAGCTCACTTGGTGCTCTTCTCACTTTAGCTGAGCTGGCATCTAAGCTCAAGAAAAATCCTCTTTACTCTTCCCTCAGCATTTATCAAGCAGAGGGGGTCTCTCCTCATAGCCACTACAGCTGGGAATGTGCTGGGTTGCACCTGAAGCCAACATATCTCTCAGTCTCACTCCAGGCCCATAGCATGTACTGCCTGCTCACCAACGATGATTCTTCAGGGCCCAAGGGCTCTTTCATTAGAAAGTGATGAATCCTGCCATTACTGAGTCCTTCCCTCTAAGGTAGCAGGTTCCCTTCTGGCCCAGAGTTTGTCTGGAGATGTTATCCTGAAGCTGGGACCTGAAATGGGGGTCTCATGACTCTGACCAGTGCCCTCTCCTACTGTGGCTGAGTGAGTATCCAAGTTGCAAGACAAAGTTCTCTTTCCTATTTCCTCCCCTCAAGTGGAAGAAAGAAGTCTTTGTCAAAACTACTAGCTGCACTGCTCAGGGTTGGAGGAGGGGTGGGCCCCCAAACACGCTGGCTCCAAGAGCAGCACAGCACTCGGACTTGCCTAAGAGTTGCGGTCCTTGGGACCTAGACAGCCTTTCAGGTTTATTAAGGACCCCAGACTATTTTATCCCACAGCAGCCAGGCTTTCACAACTCAAGTTCCAACCATAGGGATGAACAATTCCCCTATGGTTGGGGCTAGTCTAAATGTTTTTTCTGTGACTGGGCACTGGGTGGGTTCAGCTTTGTTTTGCTTTCTGCTATGACGAGGCAGCACTGAGCTCAGGCAAAGTCCCACAGCTGCTGGGCTCTCCCTTCCCGAAGCATGTAGCCTCTCTCCCTGCCACAGGTTCACAGTGGTGGCATCAACAATTCAAGACTGTCTTTTCTATGCTGTTCAGTGCCTCTTTCAGTGATATGACATAAAACCACGTCATACGAACACTTAAATAATTGTCAGTTCTTATGGAGGTGCTTTTTTATTTAGATAGTTGCTAAAGTTGTTATTCCTATGGGGAGCACAATTGGCAGAGACTTCTATTTGTGACTGCATACACCCTGAAAACAGTCTTATCTGGAGTAATAGGCAAATGCAAAAACAAACAAACAAACAAAAAACAAAAACCTCTTGCCATTGCCTGAGGATCTTCATCTTCATATGCTTCATATACTTCTATGTCATCAAGAGGTGTTCCTTCAGATTTTCCTAAGTGTCATGCACAAAGCCATTCTCGCTGTTTAGTGGACACTGTGAGAGCCTGTGCTGGAAATGCCTCCCTGGCTCACCCTACCAGCCAGCCCCAAGACCCTTTCCTTCACAGCAGTCATGAGGCCAGACTGAAAGAAAGACCCATGAAGCTCCTGTTTCAGTGCCATGTTGCCACTTGTGAGCAATCCCATGACTCAGCAAGATTTCTTGCATTCTCATAGGTAACTCGGGGACCCCCAAGTGCTGCTGTGGTTGCATTAATGCCCCAGGAACCTCCTGAGTGTGGTGAGCACTGGGTGATGCCCCAGCAATGTTTCTCAGACTGCCTGAGGGGAACACTGGAACTTCTAACTCATCAGCCCTGTGATGCAACACTCCTAATGGGGAGAGGACAGGGGCACAGGGAGCTGTGGCTATTCTGTATCTCAAGGTTTCTATAAAATGGATCTTCAGAGAAAAGCGGGAGAACACCAGCAAACACAAATACACAATGTATGACTCAGGGTGAAGCTATACTTCACAATGCAGAGGCCCCAGATCTGTCAATGGGCAAACAATCATTTCGAAGGCCAGACATGTGCTTCTCACAAAGAGACTGGAACTTGCAGATAGCTTGTAAAAAGCCATAAGAAAATTTACTGTACTATTATGTTTCTCATAGTACACTGGTAAGATATTTGCCAAAAACATTCACCAGAAAAATACTTTTCCATTTATGAGATTATTACAACAGCAATTTACCAAGACCTACCAATGAATAGTGAAAAATATGAACTGTTCTTCTAAAGCTGCGGAGAAAGAGTATGTCGTATTTATGCCCATTCTTATTATCTGCATAATGTAATCTTTCAAAGTATTTCTTCAAGTGTTTAAGTTTAAGGGAGCAAATAAAGTATTCAAAAATGGTTCAAAAGTTCACAGAAACTGTACAAACTCACATGTCTTCAACTGTAATGTTCTCAAAGAGCTTGCAGAAGTCCTCATTGCATACAGCCTCATTGCACGCAACCCTGAGGACAAGAAGAATGGCTCCGAAGATAATCCTCTTCCAGTTGGCTGGACAGATGCTGATATAAGCATACTTTACAAGTCTTTTTATGTATACCTGCAAAACAGAGCACTGGTCTTTGATTTAACTCAGTTTAAGTGCTGTGATAAGAACTCTTATGAAAAACCAGAATACTTCTGGTTTTGACCGGAAAGTAAATGCATTTTATTCTTATGTTCTGCAGAGACTTTGTTTCATCAGGTTAAGCAAGGGGCCATATCACAACCATAGCCCAAATATTTCTGCTACCTACTCTGCCCAGCAGGGTAGATTAACACATCCAAGGAACAATGAACTGAGGGCAGTAGCTCCCAATCACAACATACATGAGAATTGCCTGGGAATACACCCTGGGACTCAGCTTAGACCTACAATGGCACTCATTCCTGCCCATCAACCAGATGGTTTTGTTACTGCTCCCCATTCCAAGCCCTCCACATGCCTTGGATTTGTGCATACTGTGTGTGCATGTGTGCACTGAAGTGTGGGGGAAGAAATCAGAAATCCCTCCTGCTGCCTTTAATAGCAATTGTTCTGTAATGAGAAACGCAAGACAACATTTTAAGCCATAATGATAATTCGACTCAAATGTGTGTATTTGCTTTCATAAGTTTCTCTTAAAGTTCTGAGATAATTTCAGAAACCTACTTTCATTTAAAAACAGGACCATACTAGCCGGGCGCGGTGGCTCAAGCCTGTAATCCCAGCACTTTGGGAGGCCGAGGCGGGTGGATCACGAGGTCAAGAGATCGAGACCATCCTGGTCAACATGGTGAAACCCCGTCTCTACTAAAAAAAAATACAAAAAAATCAGCTGGGCATGGTGGCGCGTGCCTGTAGTCCCAGCTACTCAGGAGGCTGAGGCAGGAGAATTGCCTGAACCCAGGAGGCGGAGGTTGCGGTGAGCCGAGATCGCGCCATTGCACTCCAGCCTGGGTAACAAGAGCGAAACTCCGTCCCCAAAAAAAAAAAAAAAAAAAAAAAAAAAAAAACAGGACCATACTACTCCGTTTACAAGATCAATTTTTTTTTTTTTTTTTTGAAAGTAAAGCCCTGCTCTGTTGCCTAGGTTGGAGAGTACACTGACTTGATCTGAGGTCACTGCAACCTCTGCCTCCTGAGTTCAAGCAATTCTCCTGCCTCAGTCTCCAGAGTGGCTGGGACTACAGGGGCGTGCCAACATGCCTGGCTAATTTTTGTATTTTTGGTAGAGAACAGGGTTTAACCATATTGGCCAGGCTGCTCTATAAGACCAATTTCTAAAGATGCTTTATAAATAGAAAGTATCTTACCAAACTTAAGATTGCTATGTCGGCCCCTAGACTTTTGGCATTAAACAGCGTCCGCATAAATTCGAAAATCATTTTGGGTGTAGGATCATAAATAAAGTACTCTTCCAGAACCTCTTCTTGCTGAAAAAAGAAAGGATGCAATATAAGTATCCATTGAAGAGACAACCTGAAGTGCCCTTAAGACAGCAGTGTTCACATTTATGCCCATGTATAATTTACAATAATTTTGATTGGTGAGATGTCTTTCTGTGGGATCTTAAAATACTGTAATGATTTAATACTCATCAATAGTCACTTAAAAATAATATGAGCTAAAGTTCAGAACTTTTTAATTCTTTTTTACTCTTTGCCCCACATAATTCTATCCAAATGTAAGCTACTCTTAGGCTTTAATGTCTTACTGATTGTATGTCATTCTCTTCAATAAACTTTGAGAAAATACAGCTTCCTGTAACCATAAGGGTCTAAGCCTACACTGTTATATACAATAGTCACTAGCCACATGTGGCTATTATGTACTTGAGAAAGTACATTTTTAAATTTTTATACTATGTAAATTGATTTAAACTTAAATTATTTTTAACTCTCTTCATAAAAGTCATGCTTCTGTGTTAAAAGTCTTTACATATGCTCATATTGCTTGATGCTACTAATAACTGTCTTTCAAAAGATACATTTTCTGTTATTTGGATAGTATATTTACTCGTACTAGCTCACTAACTAAACAGAGCTGCAGATCAGTTCTTATTCCAACACATTTTTTTTTACAACGCCTAAGATGACTAAATGCAACATGAAATGGGGAAGATTTAAAGATGGCTTTGACTTCAGCATGAAACAAATACAAGTCTATGATAAAAATACAACCTCAATCAAAGTGTCACTTACGGTAAATGGATACAAACGTTCATCAAATATGTCCAAAGTTCTATCTGCATCTCTATAAAATAAGAATGTGCATTACTTCAAAAACTGTTAATATCTTAGTATAATATCTGTTTAGTATAATAATGCCTCCTATGTGCTTTGGTGTTTACTTCACCAAAGCAAACAGTTTTTACAAATTCTTCTCCCGGATCTTGCCCTACAGAAGGTTTCCCAACCTCTTCTTCCTCAGCACATCATGTCCTGTACTGTGAAGTCTTTTTCACAATAACCAGTCAGAACTGCCTATAGGTATTGACCCTCCCTAACAGGCAATGGCAATAAACCAAACATATTTTCATTCTTCTTAACCACACATTGAAACACAAGAATATTTTACAAAGCAGTAGTGGTGGACAATAAAGTCTTTAGAACTTTAATAAATGTAAATGTGATTCTGATTTCCTAGCTTCCTTTCTTTTTAGTCTTCTGTAGTATGCTTTCATGAAGTATTTATTTATTTTCTGTTATTTGAATTAAAAACTCATCTGCCTTTTTATTTTAAAAGAGGCTAGTCTTTGATTAACTTTAAACTTTGTAAAACTAATGTATTGTGCCTGTGTGATAAACCAGTGGTTCTCCAAATGTGCTCTGTGGACCTTTGGGGGTCCCAAAGACCCTTTCTGAGAAGGCCTAAGAGGTCAACACTGTTGTTTTTTTTTTTTTCTGAGATGGAGTTTCACCCTTGTTGCCCAGGCTGGAGTGCAATGGTGGGATCTTGGCTTACTGCAGCCTCTGCCTCCCAGGTTCAGGTGATTCTCCTGCCTCAGCCTCCTGAGTAGCTGGGATTATAGGCAACTACCACCATGCTCAGCTAATTTTTGTATTTTTAGTAGAAATGGGGTTTCACTACGCTAGCAAGGCTGATCTTGAACTCCTGACCTCAGGTGATCCACCTGCCTGACCTCCCAAAGTGCTGGGACTACAGGCCTGAGCCACCATGTCTGTTGGACACTGTTCTGATAATCATACTAATTTAACCTGAGAAAGTTGATTTTAAATTAAGAAAGTAATGCAAAGACACTGACTGCTTTTTCATAGACACTTGCCATGTATAAAAGCAAAAGTGGATAAAGCTGCTGGTTTCTCAGCCTAAATCAAGTCAGGGGTACCAATTACACTAGTAGTAATTCTATTCTTTATTCTCCCTTACAGTTAAAAAACAGCCTAAAGTACTTAAGAATGTCTTTGTTGAGGCGGTAAAAATTAATGGTGTTACTGAATCTTGACATGTCTCTTTAATATTCTGAATCAGTGGAAAGCTAACAAGAAGCACTTCTGCTCGCTGCAGTACAGTTGTGTTTTTTAAAAAATCATGATTTAATTGTGAGCTGAACAATCACTTTTGTCACAGAAAATCATTTTTATTTAAAAGTACTACTGTGGGCCACGTGCAGTGGCTCATGCCTGTAATCCCAGCACTTTGAGAGGCTGAGGCAGGTTGATCACGAGATCAAGAGATCGAGACCATCCTGGTCAACATGGTGAAACCCTGTCTCTACTAAAAATACAAAAAATTAGCTGGGCATGGTGGCGCACACCTGTAGTCCCAGCTACTCGAGAGGCTGAGGCAGCAGAATTGCTTGAACCCAGCAGGCGGAGGTTGCAGTGAGCAGAGATCGTGCCATTGCACTCCAGCCTGGGTAATGAGAGCGAAACTCTGTCTCAAAAAAAAAGTACTGTGCTGGTGCAATGGCTCACACCTGTAAAATCCAAACACTTTGGGAGGCCAAAGCAGGCAGATCGCTTGAGCTCCTTCAGAAGTTCAACAGTAGCCTGGGCAGCATGGTGAAACTCTGTCTCTACCAAAAATACACAAAAATTAGCCAGGCGTGGTGCCACACATCCGTGGTCCCAGCTACACAGGAGTCTGAAGTGAGAGAATTGCTTCAGCTGAGATCATGCCAATGTACTACAGCCAATTGACAGAGTGAGACTCAGTGTAAAAAAAAAGGACAACTATCATTCTCAAAAATAAATTAACTGAGGTTGTCACTTCAAGGAAAATAAACATTTGTTCCCATTGATAAATTAAGCTTTCCTGAGGACTTTGAAAATCTTGTTCCTTCTACTGTAGGCTTGACAGCTTTTCAACACTTAAAGACTTTTAAAATAATATTGGTGGTTAAAAGTAAGTTTTGACACAATAAAACATAAACCAATATATTCCAAATAACGAATGCATAATATTATAAATGCAAGTATGGGGGAAAAGATCCATTTACTATGCAAGACAGATTAGTGAGTACTGATAAAATAAATTTATTAATATGTATAATACCACTGCAACTAATTTTAAAAAGTAGCACTTGTGAAGTTTTAACTTATTATTAAACACCCACAACTGTCTCAAAGCTTTAAAAATGCACCTTTTACCAACTACATATTTGCATGAGATTAGGTCATGTCATTGCTTCCCCCTTTTTTACTACAGGCATGCACTATCATGCCCAGCTATTTTTTTTGTATTTTTAGTAGAGATGGGTTTCACCATGGTGGTCAGGCTGGTCTCAACCGTTTGACCTCAAATGATCTGCCTGCCTTGGCCTCCCACAAAGTGCTGGGATTACAGGTGCCTCCCACCACACCTGGCCATCTTATTGCTTCTTTAAAGCAAATTGCAAAGAAAGACCTAGAGAATCCAGTTGTCTTCTATTAAGCACAACATTAGAGGTTTTCAATAATATAAATACATGACACACTTTTTATTCAATTTTTTGTTGCAGAAAAGGTATTTTCTCATTAAAAATATTATGTTAACAATATTGTTCTCAAGGAGTATTTTCTGTTGTCACAACCTGGGTCATGGGTTAGTACTGACATCTACTTGGTACAGGCCATCAGTGCTGCTAAACTTTCTGCAATGCACAGGACAGTCCTCATGACAAAGCGTTATCTAGATCAAGATATCAACAGATATCAAGATATCTAAACTAAAAATAGATTTTGAAAAAAAAAATCTCAATTTTATAGTTCTATGACAGTAAATATCAATATAATCAATATAAACACATACTCTTTGAGATTCCCAATCATTTAAGAATTAAAAGTCTTAAGGACCAAGGAAAACACAAATAATTTGCTTGGATATTTTCCTAGGCCCAGTGGAGCCCATGATGTCTAGAACTGTGACCTAAAGAGCTTGATAGCTCGCAAAGTAATTAGCCAGAATAACAAGACAGTTTTTTAAAAAGCTCACCTTGTCTTTATATGATAATGTATCTCCAAAGCGATACTGTGGAAGGAAAAACATTCATAACAATAGATGTTATCATTTGTTAGGTCTGAAGATGTCTTTTTAAAAGGATGTGGCAGAAACTCTCCTAACAGTCCTGAAATTTAAACCTTCTAGTTCAGAACAGTACCATAAGGGCACTTTCTTGTTTTCATTTTTTGGGTTTTAGCAAAAATATGAGAACAAAAATGCAAGACAATACAATACACTGTTAGAAAATGTGTTTCTGTTGATGATTATAATATATAAATAATAACATATTTCCCTGTTATATGTTCTTCTACCCACAAAACCCTTCATCACATGCAATTTATTTTATGTATTTATTTATTGTTTGACCCAGAGTCTTGCTCTGTTGTCCAGAGCAATCTTGGCTCACCACAACCTCCACCTGCCGAGTTCAAGCAATTCTCATGCCTCAGCCTCCCAAGTAGCTGAGACTACAGGTTTGTGCCACTATGCCCAGCTAATTTTTGTATTTTTAGTGGGGACGGTGTTTTGCCGTGATGGTCAGGTTGGTCTCAAACTCCTGGCCTCAAGCAATCTGCCTGCCTCAGTCTCCCAAAGTGCTGGGATTACAGCTTGAGCCACCACACCCTGCCTCATGCAATTTATATCTATGTGTACATATGTTTAAATTTCACCATACAGTAGTGGTTTCTTTTTTAAGATGTTAGGCCCTGCATTTTAGTTTAGTTCACTATCTCCTACTCACCCATTTTTTAAATTATTTCCCAAAAAATGCATAACATAATGAAAGTGCTTTATAACAAATAAAATTATTTGAAATTGCTTTTGCATAATTATTAGAAAATGTGTTGGTAAACATAAGCTCACATGACATCAATGATAGTTACAGCAATCCTAAAATAAGCAGTGCTAACAAGGCAGTGTAATATCAATGGCAGGTATCTTCAATTAGTTTAACTGAAATATTTATGAACAGATACAACTCTTCCGATATATGTAACTGTATTCCTAAGTTACCCACTGTTGCTGTGTATCAGAAAACAAGAGGTTCTCTTACATAAGTTATGTGCTTCCATTTGCCCTCAGTATCTACAATGAGGCTCGAAATAACTGAGGGAAGGCAAATCTCAATTTTAGTAATAGGTTGATACAATATTAGCACTTTTTTAAAAGCCTGTAACATTAGCAGTTAAGATGGATACGTCTATAGTGCTTCAAGTAGTTTTCATCTCTGAAATAATTTTAAAATCATAGAATTTGAAGTTATATGCTGGAAAGGACCAATGACCTTACATGACATTTAATCCAACACTCATTTTACAGGTCAGGGAAACAAATCTTAAAACTGACTTGCCCAAGGTCCCACCAAATAGCAGCACTTTCTTGCCCTAAACTCAAATCAGGTAGTGGTTCTCAAATTTTGCTGCACATTAAAATCACCTAAGAACCTTTAATAACTGCCTCATTTTCAGTAATTAACATTGGGTATAACTTTGGGCATCAGGGTTGTTGTTAAAAGTTTCCCAGGTGATTTCAATGTGCAGCAAAATTTGAAATGATCGCCTTGGGGTGAAAATCAGAATCTTCTGGGATGCTTTTCTTCACATAAAGATGCTATGTTTTCCTAAAAGGCTTCTCAGTGCCTGGAGATAGAGGGAAAGTGGAGATTGGAGGATACATGTATTTGCAGACATGTATTTTGAAGAAAAACATTGCAAAAGTGATCCCAATGAGTTCCACCTATCCCATTGATAACAGTGCACTACTAACTTGTGATGAAAAGTTTTCAAAATATTTTCTTGAAGCCAATTTGCCCTATTAATTTGCTCAATAAACCTCTATTTCACCAAGGGTGAATACACCAAATGATCATTTCTCCAACTTGCTGATGGAAAATTAAAACTTACTTTACTTCCGAAAGTAGACTTCTAAAAATTAGAAGAATGAGGAAAAAAGCATGAAACTTGTTTGAACAAGACTATCTTCAAAGCTACTTTTGAATTCTATGCTAACACATAAAAATCATTTGAATTCAAAAGCAGCCAGGGACTCTAGGCAAAGTAGTTTGTTTGTTTCTATGCTCAAAGATTTAAGAGACAGCCAGGTGCAGTGGCTAATGCCTGTAATCCCAGCACTTTTGGAGGCAGAGGTGGGCAGATCACCCCGAGGTTGAGAGTTCGAGACCAGCCTGACAAACATGGAGAAACTTCAACTCTACAAAAAAAAAAAAAAAAATATATATATATATATATATATACACACACACACACATATATATATGTATATATGTATGTATGTGTATATATATATGTATATATATACACAAAATCAGCTGGGTGTGGTGGTGCATGACTGTAATCTTAGCTACTTGGAAGGCTAAAGCAGAATTGCTTGAACCTGGGAGGTGGAGGCTGTGGTGAGTCAAGATGGTGCCATCGCACTCCAGTCTGGGCAATAAGACAAGAGCAAAACTCTGTCTCATAAAAAAAAAAAAAAAGAAGAAGAAGAAAAGAAAAAGAAAAAAGATTGAAGAGACTTGGCTGACTACAGACATGTAGCGATTACTCAATAGGTCCCAAAGCTCAGCCCCTGAGACAGAGTTTGATTCCAATTTTTGCTGAAACACAATTTCATCTCAACTATTGTTATAAGGGAGGGAGGAAAGTGACATTATTATGAGTGTAAACCTGCCATTTTTAATTAAAGTAAAAGTTACTGACAATTGAATTAGCTAAAAAGGCTAGTGCATTCAAAACAAAATTGTTTATAAGCTAGCTAGTTACATTTCTGGAATGAAAAGTAAACTTAAATATAAAGACATTAATATTCTAAATTAGCACTTTCCAAACTGCACTCTAAAAATCAACACTGATAACCAAGGAGATGATAATAATGTACACTGGACAGCCCCTGTGGTGGTGGTGGTGGTGGTTGTCCCTTTTAAAAAATAAACTTCATCTCAGAGTGCTCTCAAAGTGCATCTTTGTGGCCCATGAGGTGCTCATGCACAATGGGAGAAATTCAAATGCAGACACACTGTGGTGCCAGAGGAGAAAAAGTTGTTCCTTCTTCTAAGACCAATGTCCAAAGTAGCACACATTGACTTAGGCCTGCAACGCATTGAAAAACTAATTTTTCACACAAAAAAGCATTCAATAAAGGGAACCTATCCATCTCATTGCATTCAACATTGTCTTAAGGCATAAAGGCATCAAATAAATAGCAACACTTTTTCTGAAATTGCTTATTTGCTAACAGATTTTTCCTTCCACCATGATGTAGAAGATGAAAAGAGAAATTGATACTTAACATTTAGAATCTGGTATCAATATACAGTTCACTCCAATTTCTTAAACTGATTGACGAGGACAACCAAATGGCTGAAATAATTTTAATTTGTCCTTTGGCAAGTATAGTTGTACTCACGATTTTAGTGTCATTGTAAAATGAGGGCGGCTGGCTGTGCTGTCATCCAGAAAAATTGTTGAGCATGAATTGAATTTGGAAGCAAAATGCTCAGTAGATATCTAAAGAGGAAGGGAAGGGTAAGGTAAACTTATCAAAGCGTATTTTCTTTTTCTCGGTTAAAATGTCAAATGACAAAGCACTAAGATATTTCTTACACTCCATGAACTGCCTAAGTGTGGTATCACGTGCACTCTATAGAAAAACCACTGGAGGCTCTTAACTTCCAGAGATGATATTGAGATATGGGTTAGAAAATGCTGCTCTTAATATGGTACCTGTCAACAAACCTAACAAGGATTTTATGAATTCTCTTTATAAATAATGAATTTGGCAGGACAAATTCTAGGCATGTTTTTAAACTATTTATAATTTTTTTCCTTTTTCTGAGACAGGGTCTCACTTTGTTGCCCAGGCTGGAGGGCAGTGGTGCAATGATGGTTAACTGCAGCCTCAAACTCCTGAGCTCAGGCAATCCTCTGCCTCAGCCGCCTGAGTAGGTAAAACTAAAGGCTTATGCCACCATGTCTGGCTAATTTATTTGACCATTTTGTAGAGATGAGGTCTTGCTATGTTGACCAGGCTAAAAATAAACAAATCTTAATTAACTTAAATATTTCTAACAATGTGAGCATTCATGAAAACAGCTCCATCTATGTTGTGAAGTAATGGGATAATATGACAGTGTATAAAGTTTGAATGAAAATATCAAACAAGACCTTAGAAGAGAACTGTAATATGCTTATTACAGATACATCACTAAAAAATTGTCTGGGTTAATATCATTAATGATATTGAAATTAAACTTTGATTTACACTTAAATATAGGTCCTAAATTTGGATTAAATATAATAGATTGATCACAGATTTATTTCCTCTACCTCTAGACATCTCAGCCACAAAATAAAGGTTACACACAGGACCAGGAGAGAAGGTTGACAAGAGAAAATTTTTAATAAATGCTGAGACATAAAAAGTAGATAAAGGAGTGGCAAATAACACAGAAGCACAACTATGATGCCTACAGAAAGTGACTGGAGGCTGGGCGGGGCAGCTCACGCCTATAATCCTACCACTTTGGGAGGCCGAGGAATTCAAGACCAGCCTGGCCAAGATGGTGAAACCCCATCACTACTGAAAATACACCAATCAGCTGGGTGTGATGGCAGGTGCCTGCAAACCCAGCTACTCAGGAGGCTGAGGCAGAGAATTGCTTGAACCCAGGAGGCAGAGGTTGCAGTGAGCTGAGATCTCACCACTGCACTCCAGCCCAGGTGACAAACCAAGACTCCGTCTCAATAAAAAGAGAAAGCGACTGGAACAGAAGCGAGGAGTTTGTCTTGCAGAACTAAAGGCGGGCTGTGAACTTAGAGGCAAATAGCACTTTGAAAAGTAGTGCAAAATGTTAAACAAAGCCAGTAAGATCAGTTGAAAATCTGTGGTTAGAGACCCACGTCCACTTGTTCTCCCATCTGATAAGAAACTTAGATGTGTGTTCCCTGGATATACCAAATCTGAGATTTTCTGGCTCCCAACTACCATAGATTAAACCTGAGATATGAAGAAAACTATACACCAAAAATGGAACTCCAAATTTCTTCCCTAACTCTGCTTTTGGAAAGCAAGTAGCCAGGCAGAAACTTGGGAGAATCTTCTCAAGAAACTGAACTGTCTCGAATAAAGATCCCCAGACAATACACTGAGGTCCTCCAAATGAGAAGCTAGTTTCTTCCACAACCTCACACTGAGTGTAATCAGTTAACAGAAGTCCTGCTTCCAAATAAAGCAAGCAAGCCAGGGACCACCACACATTAGAGAAAAGCCTCCAACAAGAGAGATCTAAACAACACACACACACAAAATTCATGGGACCAGTCAAAATCAAGAGCAAAACTTTTTAAAAATGTTAAAAAGTTTAACATTTTAAAAGATATATAAAGTTCAACAGATATAGCATATCCCAGAAGTAGAATAAAAAGACAAACTGAAAAAAATTGAAGGAGAAAAATTGGAAACCAATGCAGGTCTACTGGTCTAAGCAGTCTAGTGTCTGAGTAACAAGACTATCAGAAAAAAAGTAACAGAGAAAATAAAAAACATTCTCAAAAAGAGATAGTCTGCAGACTTAGTAGCCTCAGTATAATGAAAAGATCCCCCACCAAGCTGTTATTATGAAATTTCAGAATCTCAGAGACAGAAAAGCTCCGAAAAAGCTTCCAAAAATACATAAAACCAGGTTATAAATAATGTGCCACGCAATGGCAATAGATTCAAGAACACTGTGATGAGAGCACAATTGCAGAATATCTTCAGAACAATAAAATTTAGATTCAACCTAGAAGTTTCCTCTCTATCAAGGAAGAAGGATTTTAAGACTGGTCAAATCTCTGAACATCTCTGCCCAGGAAAGTGTGCTTAAGTACAACTAGAGAGGATAACAGGACAGAAGGAAACACAGAATCTAGGACTCAGGCGATCCCACACAAGGTGACAGTTACGTGAGATCCCAAAAGATTTTCAAGAGATAGCACAGATAGTCTAAGACATCAAGCATATCTAGGGAAAGCCACTCTATATTGAAGAAGTATGACAAAAGGCCAAAGAAAGTTGCCCACCACCCGCCAAGAACAAAGAGGAACAGATATGTTTTAGCAGACGGAAAATATCTTTGAAAGGCATGTGATAAATGCTACAATGCTTGGGGGAGGGATCAGCTGTTAGAAAACAGGCAAATGAATATAGTCAGAAAATTAGCTTCATGCTAAAAAGTAATGGATGTGAAATGTAAATTATATGTAAAATATAATTTAACAATAACTATTAAAATTATTTTTCAAATAAAGTGACAGACCATCCAGAGGCTACTTACTGTATTTGGCTGGATAAACCAGCATAGGCTAGGAAAAAAAAGATGATCCAGAAGAAGTGCAGAAGTGCTCAGATTTCAGAACTGTTTCAGAGAAAGGATGAAGGAATATGTAATGCAGAGACACAGTGAAAACAACATACAACTCAGCAGTGAATAATATTTGGATAGTCATAATCTTGTCAGTATTACTGACTTAATTAAAAAGTGTGCTACAATTGAAAGAAACAGAGGGAGAAAAATAAGGTCATGGTGTAGCAAGGAAGGTATGCTTTCACCTGCTCTGACAGAAAGTCAATAGACCATGCTGACAATTAACTTAGCTCTCCTATTTTGGTTATTTCATTAAAAATAAGATTAAATATTTAAAGCAGATCTTTATACCACAACCGACTATTGAAATTTAACTTAAGTGTCAGCAATCCTTAAAAGGCGGGCACACTAAACTGAAGACTTTTTGGGATAAATTTGATAGGAAAGTAGAAGAGATTCAGAAAATCCACAAAACAAGGTCCATACTAACACCACTGGGTCCCCATTATAATTTAAAGGAATGAAGAGAGACATACTTTTACATCAAACTATCAATTTCTCAACTTTTTGACTGTTTACTTACATGGTTTATACCACTGTTTTCTCCTATTTCTTCTGCTAAGAATAAAAGAAAAAAAAAACAACGGTCACTTCTGACACAAATAATATAAAATAAAAGTAGTTGTTAACATCTTACTGACTACTCCTAGGTACAATCACACAGAATTCCATTTAAAAAAATTAATTTCAACAATTTACAATTTAAACTATCTGGCATGATAAATCTCATAAAGTAAAAGGTAAAAACTTAGATTTACTTTTTGACCTAGTTTACTTTCTGTTTTTATTACATACAAGTGAAATAATACTCATGTACAAAAGGGCACAAAAATTAGCCCAGATGAAAAATTTAGCTAATAAAAAAATTTGTTGCATATATGAGCCATGATCCGTTAGTATTCTCCTACTCTGCATTTACACATGGCTTAATTACCAAAATCTAAGAGCTAACAGCTCTAAGAACTACTTCCTGGCCAGGCACCTATCTCTAGATGCACCAGAATCCCTGTAAGCATCTCCAACCACACATAGTGGTCATCTACTAATATGTCGCTACAAACAAAACAAACAAAAACAGGGTCTTTACACAACTGAAAAGTAACCTATCTTAAATTTAATCTTTTGTTTGTTTGTTTGTTCTTTTTTTTTTTTTTTTGATATGGAGGAGTCTCGCTCTGTCACCCAGGCTGGAGTGCAATGGTATGACCTTGGTTCACTGCAACCTCTGCCTTCAGGATTCAAACGATTCTCCTGCCTCAGCCTCTGAGTAGTTGGGATTAGAGGTGCACCCCACCATGCTCGGCTAGTTTTTGTATTTTCAGAAGAGATGGAGTTTCAGCATTTTGGTCAGGCTGGTCTCAAACCCCTGACCTCATGATCCACCCACATCCGCCTCCCAAAGTGCTGGGATTACGGGTGTGAGCCACCGCACCCAGCCAAATTTAAATCTTAAAATAAGTAGAAAAACCTAATTTGGACATGGTGACCACAGCAAAAAAAAAAAAAAAAAAAAAAAAGGCCAGAATAATAAAAGGTCCAAGAGGGCCTTCGGCCATGCTTTGTTTCCTACACTGCCTCTGCTTTTAATGCTGGAAGGGCCTTGGAGGCAAACATTCCTATCACTGAAGTGTGAGGGACATGGAATAGCTTTTCTTTTTTCTGCTTCCATGCTCTCCAGGTGTGAGAAGCCCATGTCTCTGGAAGGAACTGGGAAATACAACTCTGATATGGTTTGGATATGTCTCTCTCTCCAAATTTCATGTTAAAATGGGACCCTTAATGTTGAGGACAGGGCCTAGTGAGAGGTGTTTGGGTAATGGCGGTGGATTCCTTATGAATGGCGTGGTGCCATTCCGATGTAAGAAGCAAATCGTCATTCTGGTATTAAACTAATATGAGGTTTTCTTTTTGTTTGTTTGTTGCAGAAAAGTGATTTATTTATTTAGAGAGAGAGAAACAGGAGAAGAGAGAAAGCTTACACAAGACAGAGTATGTGGAAGAGGGACCCCAGAGGAGAAATCCAAGAGGGGAAAGAGACCTCCACCTATGTGGGATAATATGAGTTTTTCTAAACACTTTTTATAATACATCTGATCAAACAAGAGTTTTCACTCTTTTTTTTGGCAGAAAAAACAGTGTTGTCTCACCATCTGCTTGGCAAGGATTTGCTTCTGAAGGATTGGACTCCAATGACCCATCTATACCGAGAGAAAAGAAAAAAGATGTAATCACTTATAACAATTTATCAACTCATTTATTTGACAAGGAAGCCATTTCACTACCTCCACTTTTATCCATTGGGAAAAGGGACAAAGAATTATACATAAAGATAAATCTAAGACTCCTCCATTACATGACAAATTGTGTTGATAAAAAGATGGTAAAATGTATAAACAAAAAGTTTACATGTTTTCACTAACATGATAACAACTAAAGGAAAGTATATCACATGTTAAAATAACACAAGTGAATATGTGAAAATTTTAAAAATTTAAACCAATATGAGTTTTGCTAAACACTTTCTATGATACACCTCATCAAACAAGAGTTTTCACTCTTTTTCATGGTGGAAAGAACAATGTTGTCTCACCATCTGATTGAGATCTCTTTGATTCTGGATGATCAGAAGGGTTAGACTCCAAAGCCATATCTATATAGAGAGAAAAGAAAAAAGATGTGATCATTATAACAATTTATCAGCTCATTTATTCTACAAGGAGGCCATTTCACTACCTCTACTTTTATTCTTATCCATTGAAATGAATGTATAGACATAAGATGAAGCCAGACAAGGTGGCGCATGCCTGTACTCTCAGCTACTCAGGGGGATGAGATAAGAAAATCCCTCCAACCCAAGTCAGGAATTTAGGCCAGCATGATTAACATAGTGAGATTCTTTTTTATTTAAAAAAAAAAAAAAAAAAAAAAAAAGATTAAATGTTCCCTTTGAGTTGTGTAAAATCAACCTTGCATAAAATAAATCAAGATGGCAATACATTTTAAAAGAGAGGCCTATTTTATAGGCAAAATATAAGATGTATTCTGGAGTTTGAAAAAAAATTTTAAAGTAAATTCAGCATATTTGTCACTTCCATGTCATTCTGAAGACACAGAACCTTAGTTCTGTTAAGCAGTTGTCTTACATACTCATGTGAGATCTCTGCCTTCATTTCTTCATTAGCAATACATATGGAGAACATACACAAGCCTTCTTTGTATTGGAAGGAGCCAAATTAGACATGTATAAACTGCATTGTAATCCTAAAGAATAACAATAAAGAGCCTTTTTTGGGTTCTCCTCCAACACTACCCATCTATGAACTGGTGTGTAAAATCACTCGCAGGCTTAGTTTACACAAGTACTTACACATTTTGTGTATAAAGGATTAATCAATTCATATATTTGTTTATTCAAAATTCTTAAACATCTTGAAAAGTGAGTATAGTACTCCAAGTTAGCAAGTCACACTCATCATGAGTCTTAATTATTCTACCTCTGAAAAAACCTAAGAGCCCAACCAAAATTGTTTTTTGTTTGTTTGTTTTTCACTTTAAGTTCTGAGATACATGTGCAGAACGTGCAGGTTTACATACGTATACATGTGTCATGGTGGTTTGCGGCACCCATAAACACATCATCTAGGTTTTAAACCCCACATGCATTAGGTATTTGTCCTAATGCTCTCCATCCCCTTACACTCCACCCCACCTTGAACTCCCTAGTGTGTGATGTTCCCCTCCCCGTGTCCATGTGTTCTCATTGTTCAACTACCACTTATGAGAGAGAACATGTGAAGTTTGGTTTTCGTTCCTGTGTTAGTTTGCTGAGAATGATGACTTCCAGCTTCTTATGCTTTACTTTCTTATCTTTGAACAATATGCTATTGTCAGGTGGGGGAAGGACAAAGGGGGAGCCATGGCAGCAAACACTCTTCCACAGACAAGGTCTGGCAATTTAACCTTCAATCTTTATGTTACACGTTAAAAGTCTACATTGACATTTCATGTCTTTTGAAAGTTTTGACCATGAACCATCCCTACCTCTCTCTTTTAGAACAAGGAGGTAAATAAAGTCTGTTAAGTCACCAGAATAAATCTAGAGACACATTTTGTGTTAAAGTAAGAATTTTAAAGTCATCAGAGCCTCATGGGTAAACTCCTTGTGGGGAAAAAAACCACCCATTTTTCTGTAGCCCTGGCAACGACATTTCGTACCTTTCACAATTATTTTAAGCACCCTCCATTTTCTTTCCTTTTGTGTTCAAATTACAGTTAGAAAATAATAAGCACCTATCAAGGTGACTTAAAGCAACCCATTAAGAATATCCTATCATCTCTCCCATGGCAACCTTCATGTTGATTTCAAAGAAGAAATCCCCAAATATTTCAGTATGAATTGTCCCGAGATTTAGCTACTTTAACAAAGGAAATAATAAGGCACTTACCTGGTTCCTTCACTTAGGTACCATCAGGATAGGTACAAAAAAAGAATGAGAAGGGTACTGGAAAGTTGGGGTATTGAGTTTTTGTTGAAAAAAGGAAGAGAATATTCCAAAAAAGCCTCAACAAAGTCCTACAGAATAATAAACAGAGCTACAGACAAGAAGAGACATAAATAAATGGTCCCAGGCAAGCCTGAGAGATGGGGGAGCAAGAACTGGGTGTTTGGGAGGAGAGGAGAAAAGAAATTGGACTCCGTGGAGAAAGACTAAGCGGTGGAAAAAGGAACGCAAGGCAGAGCCAGCCTTTGTTTCTGACCAGCCCTGGAGAGGCTGGCTACAGGCAAAAAGGAACCTGAGGTAGGGGACACCTCCCAGGGGTCCTTGAAGACAGCAGCAGCCAGAGGGGTGGCCAGGGCAGATGGCATCATCACCTCCTTACCTTCAGGCATCTCCCCGTCACAGATGTGGTGCGCATTAAGGCCCTCACCAGCTTCAACAGTCAACTCGGCAGGCTCTACAGGAGCAGCGATGGGTGCTGCTGCCGTCGTGTCCTCAGCTGCTGCCTCACAGATTTCAAACTCAGGAGTACATGCTGACCCCTCGTCCTGGTCCGAATCGGGGCTGGCCCCACAGCACACACAACAGGTCAGTATGTTCCCCATGGGGCACCTCTACTCCTGTCTGCCGCCTCCTGTGCCTCTGCTCACAATGTTGGCCACACACTGCTGCTGCCCTAGGCAGAGGCTATGCTGCACTTGCAGAGATGGTCTTGCTGCTGCTCGCCTGCCCACCCCACAGCCCGGCCCCAGCCGGGGCTCGGGCCAAGGCCCGCACCCTGCCGCCTCCCCTTAGTTGACTTGTCTGGGAGGGTGAGAAACAGCTGGCTAATTTAATAGGTTGTGAACCCAACAAACGCTGAGATACAACAACTGCCTGAAGAGAGTACAAAAGGAGCTATTCCTCCTTCTGCAGTCACCTACAGACTGAAACCCACTGGCCCAAGTGGAAGCCCAGGCATGTGACTCACAATGCCCCACCCCACACCTCACAATGGCCCACCCTGGCTGCCGCCCCTCCCCCGTGGCCTGGGCTGCCCCACCCTGTGGCTTATGATGTCATAGCTCTCCTGGCCCCTCCTGCAGTGCTAGTGGGACTAAGATTTTCATTCACCACCCACCAGCTTCCTAAGCATTTTAGTCCTAAAAACAGGGTGGTTCATTACTGGAAGCCATCTTCCTCTATGAGTTCTATACAAAGTCTCAGTTAACAGAGTGGGTACCATGAGCAACCAAGTTGAACTTTTATTTGCTGACTCAATGTAGATACACCTGAACTGTTCACTGCTTTTGTAATGAAGTACTCCTCTCCTGTCTTCCAGTGAGTGGTAGTTTTTGTCTACAACTTGACCACAGTAATCCCTGGGGCCCTAGCTCTGCTCTCACTAAAGAGTTATGGCTGTGTGGGCTGGGCGTGGTGGCTCATGCCTATAATCCCAGCACTTCAGGAGGCCGAGGTGGGCGGATCACGAGGTCAAGAGACCAAGGCCATCCTGGCCAACATGGTGAAACCCCGTCTCTACCAAAAATACAAAAAAATTAGCTCGGCGTGGTGGCGCGCACCTGTAGTCCCAGCTACTCAGGAGGCTGAGGCAGGAGAATTGCTTGAACCCAGGAGGCAGAGGTTGCAGTGAGCTGAGATCGTGCCACTGCACTCCAGCCTGGCACCTGGTGATGGAGTGAGACTCTGTCTCAAAAAAAAAAAGAGTTACAGCTGTGTGTCTTGAATGACACCTTAGGACCCATCCTGCCTCCACCTCCTTCTCCATAAAATAGAAAGCTAACTTGTCCCCCCAAGCTCTAAAATGCTGAAACTTACCAACTTCCTTTTCTCCCCTGTTTCTTCCTTCCATGGCAGGGACTTTCAGGTTTTCTCTCTTTTACTAACAAAGCACTAAGCATGATTTTCTTATACAAAATCAAGAGCCGTAAAGTGGGTTACCACAGTCCTAACTCAATAAAAATGAACACTGAACATCTGGCAAGCAGTATGTACCTGATAGTGTTCCAAGTGGGCTATGTTCATTTAACCCTCAGAAACAATCTCACAAGTTTTAGAGAAGACATTGAGATAGAGAAAGTAAGTTATCTCCCCAAGGTCACATGACTGCCCAGGCGGGGCCATTACTTGGTCTCAGGTAGTATGAATTCCCCAGTTCCTCAGGCATGATTATCAGAAAGTGCATTATACCATTTTCACACTGCTATAAAGAAATACCTGAAGTTTGGTAATTTATAAAGGAAAGAAGTTTAATTGACACATTCCACATGGCTGTGGAGGCCTAAGGAAACTTAGAATCATAGCAGAAAAGGAAGCAGTTACTTCTTACATGGTGGCAGGCCAAAGAATGTGAGCATGTGAAGAAGCAATGGTCAAGCACATAGAAAACCATCAGATCTCATGAGAACTCACTCACTATCACAAGAACAGCATGGGGGAAACTGCCCCCATGATCCAATTACCTCCCACTGAGTCCCTCCCTCAACATGTGGGGATTATGGGGGTTACAATTCAAGATGAGATTTGGGTGGGGACAAGACCAAAGCACATCAGAAAGTACAGGTAGAAGTCAAGCTTGGAGGGGAAGTGACATTATAGATTGGCATATTTTTTTAAAAAACTTTTTTTAAATGTAAATTTTAAAATGCCTCCTCTTCATTCAACATTGATGAAGTAAATCCCTTCTACATGCCAGACACCATATGTGTTAAACAGTCCCAACTCTCAATGAAGGTAGGCAGATACACAAACAAAGGCTTAAGAAGTTCAGTTTTCTGAGATCACACTACGGGACAGTGTATGAACCTGAGTTACAAACCCACCTCTACCTGACCCCAAATTCGACGCTGGGGTGGTTTTAATTTTATTCTGAAAATTTTAGTCATTGAACCATACAAAGGTGAGAAGTCTCTGTCAGATGTTTGTGTAATGGTCTGTATAATAAGGAAGGACTGAAGGAAGCAACAAGACCAATTAAGAGACTATCTAAAGGAAGACTGATGCTAAAGGCAGTGGCAGTGACAAAAGTGGAGGAAAAAAAATTGTGATTATTGGGGAGACAGAATAGGAAGTACTTGGTCATGAGATGTGAAAGCAGGGAAGCAGAGGGGAAAACAGGGCTGCTCGGGCTCTGCTGGGGAAGACTGGGTACAGAGTTATACCTTTCTCCTGGCAGAGAATGTAGGAAGAGAAATAGGTAAGGAGGAAAAGACAGTTTTTTACGCTCAGTGTCACATTAAAATGGAACTCTCTGGTCAAAGTTGAATTTAAATCTCTGTAGGCTAAGTCCATTTGTGACATCCCAACATATGTTTTTAAAAATAACACACGTACTAAATCAGACCATTAAGAGTAACTGGGGAAATTTCCTAAAATTTGCATGCTAAGTATATCACCATTTTTTTATTACTTTCATGGAGTAACTCTGAATCTGTGGTTATAGCAAATGAGGGATCTTACATAAAATAAGGCTAATATTTTACATTTAAAATTTTATTGTCCTCAGAGAATAGAGAAAGCAACTGAAGCCATGGACATGGAATTGATTGCCTTGAGAGGCTGTATGTATTAAGGAGAGCTAGAAAGAAATAAGACCTGGAGAATAGGGGGAT